GTGAGCTTCTCACTGCATGTCTCCAACTCCTCGTCAATGTCAGCAAACAAAGGTAGACTATGCCTAACTTGCGCATTCCGTTCTTTCTTAAGCAAGTCCCTCAGGAACACTCTCTTCTGAGCAGCTGAACCTGATGTTGCTTCTTTGCGAATGCTCAACTCATAGTTAAGTTCATCAACCAATAAGAAGTTAACCTCCATAGCTAAAAAATTTTAAGTGATCAATAATATGAAAAAATTTTAATTTAATATGAAATGAATTTAATAGAAAATGTCAAGAATTTATTACTTAAAGAATAAATTCTCCCACCAAAACAGGGTGAAAATTCAGTACGAAAAGTGCAAACAAAAATTTAAGTGCTTTTATCAGCAAAACAAAAAGTAAGTTAAATGCTTGTAACAGCAAAACAAAAAGGTAATTTAAATGCTTTAAAGAGCAAAACAAAAAATAAATTGAACGCTGGTATCAGCAAAACAAAAAATATTTGCCCAGCAAAATATGCAAATTTTCTTTCTTTTCTCAAAAGGAAAAAATGTACAAAACTAACAAAATTTTAAATAAAAAAAAGAGAAAAAAAAAAATTGCCAACTATGGAGAACGTCCAAGCATTTACCCCTTCCACTTATTAATGTCGGTTCTTGCTTTCTTAAGACACTTCCCCCGGAAGTAATCAACGGGAACAAAAATAGCTTTCAAGGTAAATACCAACACGTTCTACCGCGAAGGAGATTCTTTATCATCAAATGTCCTTCCGATGTAGCAAACCTTACTTGAATTGCAAAAAAAATCACACAAAATAACAAAAAATGATCAGAAAATCTGGCTTTTTTCGATACAATTCCCTAACCGTGCTTAATGTACCAATTAAAATTAAAACTAAATCAAGTACTAAAGTACTCAAAAATAACCAAAACAAAAGTATCTAATTTATGTGAATAATCACTGACACTTTCTATATAAAACAAAAGTTTTCCTAAATAAACTCAAAATAATGAAAAGTATCTAATCAATGTGAATAATCACTGACACTTTTTATGTAAAACTTAATAAAAATCTATAAAAACCTAATATTAATTGGTACCTTAAACTTACAATTCAATAACAATGGTTATGTAATACAGAAAAAAAATCATTACGTTACAGAGCCTGATGTTTAATCAGCAACCAAAATTTTCAGAGTAGATGTAATGTGGGCGCCATACTGTGTTTAACCAAAACAAAACAAATACTGTAATATAAGCGAATTTAAAAAACAAACTAAAAAACTACTACCAATATAGGGTTAAAACTTTGGACTCAATCTAAGCTTTCGCTTAGTCCCGTACCGATAAAAAATCTGGATTAGAGATAGTGACAGTTAATAGTCGAAACCAACCATACCAAAATATTGTATTACATGGAATACTTCTAAACTCTCGTTTAGTCCCGTACTAGATCAAAAAATCTAGCTTAAGGATAGCAACACCCCTATTTCTCAATAGGAGACAATAACTGTCGAGTCCAAATCTGCATATACACTTATGTGTATATATGACACCACTATAACAAAACAAAATTATGGTTAAACTAAAAAAATGACTTTTTAAAGGAAAATACGGTTAAACTAAAAAATGACGTTGGGCGCCAATTGTGTAACGGAAAATCAATTTAAACTACAAAAAACGTTGGGCGCCAATTGTGTAACGGGATAAAGTTACCGATGTTAAAAGTAATCAAAAATTTTACAAAAAAGAATCCGTTACACGCACCGACTAACTCAAAGTAGACGAAAAATGAGACTTTTCAAATGGGGGGTTGTTCTATTGTTAAACACAGTAAATTAAGATAAAATATACCAAAAAATATACTACAAAATGTACTCTGAAAATATTAGTGGCTAAATCAAACAAAACATCTCACCATCAATAATAACACTATTTATTCAACAAAATGGTAGCCCCTTCACGGTAGCTGTTATAACAATATAATAATTATCAAGTTAAATAGTAACACTCTCTGAGGGATTGTGCACCAGAACAAACTAATCATAAAATGTAAAATATTAATTAACAAGTTAAATAGTAACACTCTCTGAAGGAGCATGTACTAAAACAAAATATATTTAAATTTAAACTAAATTCGTATATTAAAATAGTATCTACTAACACTTGTGAAAACCCTTTGGACAGTTGAGTTGAAAAAAAATAGCATATAAAAGTGTACTTCACCTTACAAGTTTCTAACTGTACTGTGAAACTCCAAAATCCAAGATAAACTTCCTATTGGTTGATTTGACTCCATCGAACCATTGAACAGGATATGGAACCATGCAGTGACAGGTGTCCAAAAGTGAGGTTAAGTGTCACTTGATAAGTGAGGTTAAAATGTGCCGGCTTTTGCAAACTCTTCAAAATGCAAACAAAACCAGTTGCAAATTGCGACGTATTATTCCATAAAATTTGTTGCACTATGAATCCTCACAAAAAAAAATCAGCGTGGCGTCTCCAAAAAAACCAATGCTCACTTACTGCGTAGTATTGAAATTGTCCAAAAAAAATTGCTAATTTCCAAAAATACTTTAACCATTTAATTACTGAATTGGATAAATACTGTACGATATGTACGGTAGTACGATAAGTACGGTAAGTACAGTAAGTACGGTAAGGCCTTAAAAAAAATTAATTCCCATTAGTTAAACCCTAATTTAAAATTAAAAAATCTTACCGAAATATTTTCGGCCGTCACTCACGAGAATTGCATCGAAAAAGGAAGGTGAATTTTACACCTCTCGTGCTCTTGACCAATTAGCACATGCGTATAACAAAGCCCGATTTACACAATTAATTAAATAGATTAATAAGATTTTTCCATAAAAACGATTCTAATAGAATATTATATTTAATGAATTTTTATTAATTAAATATTAACTTAAAACAACAAATTGAACTAACAAAACAATGTTATTAAAATAAAAAACTGTTATCAAAGTAAACAATTCAACCCCGTTTACACCGCTAAAATTACTTCAATTTGCAACAAAACGCACCAAAACAAATGTCGCGATTTTCAACCGTGACAAATTAAATATCGAATCGTCGCGAGATTTTGGTAATAAGAAGATGATTTATCAGTGCCGCGGCTTGTCGTTTGTTCGTACAGAGCGGCTACCGAAATACATGTATTTAATTGTGCCTGTACATAGAGATGATGAACTGAGTGACATTCCTTAGACCGCTCAACTTAGCCTGAACGGACAGTACCTAGTGCCCTGTCAGAATTACAGTTAATAGTATATTATGTATCAAGTTTGATAAACGCTATTTTAGACACGAATTTAATTTAGTGATTAAGTGACTAGAAAAGTTTATAAACGATTTAAATTAAATATTTGTATAAAGAGACATCTAAACGAAAATAAAGTAACCATCCCAATAAACATTTTTGACGTATTTTCAGCATTAACATTGCGCGTTTTTATTTTAATTAAACCTAACAATTATTGATACTTTAAAATATTAAAATTAATTCAAAATATGATTACATCAAGAAAATATTTTATCCTTTTATATTTTTTACACTACTACAGGGTGTTATATAATTAATGTAATATATTAAAATGGGTAGTTCCTTAGGGTCCATAAAGAAGCACCTAGGTTATTATAAATTATTTTTAGTCTTTAGAATTTAGAAAAAAAAAGTTTCAGTTGAATGCTGAATGTAACAATGCAAATTGTTAATTTGGCGTTTTTATTAATTGTTGATTATGTCATTTTTGTAATGAAGGCAAATTCAAACAAAATCTGGCAACTTTTATGACAGAATCTAGTGCATTTCTTTAAAATTTTAGATTTTGTGCTCAAATTGTAAATATGTTAACTAAGGGAAGTGCTTTTGGATTTATTTACACAAATTGAATGTTTAAGGTTTTACCTGTGAACTTTCATCTGAGTAAACAAAAAGAAAACAACCGATAAAAAAATTAATTTTGTGGTTATGGAGTTTTTAAAATAGGTACTAAATTTTCTAATCATTGCTTAAGCCAATAGTTGGATGAGTAAACAAATACAGAAGGGTATTAGAGCTTTAAGGGCATAAAACTTTTGTATTTATTGGGTTTTTATTTATTTTTGCAAACAAATTTTTTAGTTACATTTTTTACAACTGGCAACGCGCAGCTACTTTGTTGGTTGGTATCTATGTATATACTCACAGAACAAAAGTGTGTAACCAGTGGCGTATCACAAAAAATATAAAAAACTTCTTAAATATTTTTCCGTTACACCTTATGTCAAAAGGTATTCAGTATTTGTATTTGTAAAACATTATCACAAAGTTTTAAATATTCTTACACGGGAAATGTTACAAAACGTACAAAAAGTGACAGTTGTATTTATTGGAATTCCCTTTAGAATTTCTAACTTGGGAATATACCGGCGTTAAAATCTCAAATTTTTCTGTGTAAATCAAAATTTATTCTTTGAAAATAGACTCGATATCGATATAGAAGCAGTTTTTCACAGTAAAAGAGAAGAGAATGTTTTATGGGCACTATGCGCAACAGTTAAATCTTGTTAACTACACTACTACCGCATCAAGAAACTATTTACTACTTTTGAATTTTTGTATTGAGATAATAAAATAATTTTTATATTTAGTATTATTTTACAAGAAAGGCACTTTATTTTAACAATTGTATGACATTTGACAACTGTCAACTAACTTAAAACTAACTTCAGCCCGTGACTAAAAACCTGTTGCTAACTTCAGCCCGTAACTAAATCGTGTAATTTTGTCAGTTTGGCAAAAAAATCATCAAAAACTGACCTTTTGTAAATTTTTTAAAATCCTTTGTAACTTTTACAATTTGTGTTTAATTTGAGTGGAAATTTTAGGGTTTGGTTTTTATTGTCGTCACATTTATTTTATCGTAATTTTTTTGATAAACCCTGAAAATTGCCTGCAAAGTTACTATCTTAACATTTTGGCGGGTTAACTTGAACAAATTTGATCGGATTACTTACTTTCGTCGTTTCTTCCTCTGTCGGCCGATATGGATCGGTTCAGGGAATCGTCGCGGCCGATGTCGTTTTCTGGACCGGCAGATTTCGATCGGTTTTTCGATTTTCCCAATCTTCGTTTAATCGTGCCGAAAAAGTCCCTTCGTTTTCTCGACCTTCCGCGGAATTCTGCATCGCCCTGTGTAGACTGCAGAGTGCCGGTTGCGGAAATATCACCTCCCTATAAGCATGTTGATAATACGGCACGATCTGATATTTATTGAAAATTTAACCCCGCCAGAAATTAAAACCGCCGTGACAATCCCTTTTTTGTGTAATACGCTAAAGAAGCATCGGGTTTTCGCAACGCGCGCGCCATCTTGTGGTGTTGCAAGTAAAAACTAAAAAACTTTGGTTTAGTACTCGATTTCGATTTATTATTCCTTATATCATTGATTAAGAAACTCAACGCTTATACGCTTACATAGTTACGTTAGTGTGTGTATTTTATCGACGTGATCATGGTGAATTATTGTGTTTTTAATTGTAAGTAAAATTCAAGAACTAAATCGTTGCATTTTCATGTTTGGCCAGGATCCAATTCGGTACGTATATTTGTTGGTGCAGAATTAAGTAATGATGACTTTACCTAATATAATTTATATTTGAGTTTGAACATTTTTAAGAAATCTAACAAAAAATAATTGTTGTACAAACATAACCTTAAAATCGAATATTTTTATATTTTTTAAATATACTTACGAATTTATGGCAACATAATATTATATATATAATACCAGAGCTGGGAGTAACTTGAAAAAAGGATAATAGAAAGTAATTTACGATACTTAAAGTATCTAAGATGCTTTATCTTAGATACTTTTTATATTGGACAGAAAGTATCTCCAACTAAGTTACTTTGGAAAATTTTAAGTATCTTGTAACTTGTATTTAAAAAAGTATCTAAGTTACTTGGTAAAGTAACTAAGATACATTCAAGTAACTAAGATACTTTTTAAAATAACTAAGATACTTTTTAAAGTACTTTCTCAGAGAATTGGGGGAATTCCAGAATGATACAACTTGTTGAATTTTCATAATTTTATAGTTTTTATTCATACTTAAAAGTAATTTAGTTCATATAGTATCTTAGATACTTTCGGATAGTATCTTAGATACTTTTTAAAGTATCTTGTACCTAAAGATACTTTTAACTCAAAGTATCTAGTTACCAGAGGTAACTAAGTTATTTTGTTTAAAGTATATTAGAAAAGTAACTAGATACTTTTCGGAAGTAACTTTTGAAGAATTAAATTTAGGCAAAAATGTTAAGAGACCTTTTTTGTAGAAAATTAAATTTCCTTTAAGAATCCGACGTGAGCTTTTTTAAATATTCATTCATTCATTAGTTACAAAATTTCAAAGTAAAAAGGGCAAATCGAAAAAACACATCGATTTATTAAGCTCAATTACTCGGAAACGGCTCATCTGAAAAAAAATTTCAATCAGACCTTTTTTGTAGAGAATTTAATTTTATATAAAAATAAGGGAAAAGGAATTTTTTTCACTTTGTTTTGACAGTTCTAACGTAAAACATCATATTATGACTAAAAATCAAAAATCAAAAAAACCTCTTAAAATTAATATTAAGGGCTCAAATTTTCACGATTTTTTTTTTAATTTTGAATGACATTCTCGATATATTTTTCAAAAGAAAAAATAGTCAATTTTTTTGGCCCAGTCTATTATACATATTATAATACCGGTTCTTGGTATTTTACTGTTGAGTGGAGACTTTCTTAATCAACGCTTTTAATAACGCTAAATGCTGTTTGAATTTAGACGAGTTATTTGTTTTATGATTTTTACTAAATTGAAATGTTTACAATTTTCACGTTAAATTACTAAAATGCATTTATTGTATTTAGTAGGTACATTTTATATTATTTTTAACATTTTCTGGCTTAATTCTTAAAAACACTCGTTTGTAACATACGCGTTTGGTGGCGCTACTGGCGATGCTTCTTTAGCGTATTTTTTTTTGCGAATTCAAAGTGCAAATAATTCCAACCCTTTTTAACGTTCAATATTTTTCTCAATTGTTAAAAATAGGAAAATCGTAGAACCCAACTTTTGCGGGTAAGAGAATTTAGTGCGCTAGTTAATTGCGGAAAATAAAAGAAAATCGCTTCAAACCTTTTTGGATTCAACGTCACTGGACGGAAAATCTTTAGCGGTGCCGTTGGCACTTCCGTTTGTCTTTTCCTTAATTTCGCCGTCCGTGGATTTTTCCAAACTGTCGTCTTTCGTGTCTTTTGGCTCTTTTTCCTCGCTAGGATTCAGTTCGATTCTTTCGACCTCTTTCCAATTGCCGTTGTTTAGTTCGACCTGGGTTAGTAGAAGAAAAAAACACTCTAAGCGTTAAGTTATTATTTTTGAGCGATTAATTTTGTTAAGTTCGCCAAAAAATCGCAAAATCGCAAAACGTTATTGTACTTACTTTCACTAGCCTTTCAGAGGGTTGCTAAAAAAGCCAAGCGTTAAAAATTGTACGATAACCCAAAAAAAATGTACTTACTCTTTGAACACTATGTATCACAAGTGTGCTCTTATTAGGGTTCTGTCCATATGAACTATCCAAGTCTCTTAAAGCATTAGAAGCTAAATGATTACCATTTGTAATATTATAGTTATCTGAAACGAATTGATTCAGAATGCATTATTACATTTTAATTTATTTGTTTACCATTTTGGAACGTAGTAGTAGTTGTTGTTAGTCTAGCCCTATTTGGCGACGGAGTTCTAAGGTTTTCCTTGATCTTGTAAGGCTGATTTTTACCTATGTTCGGGATGTCGGCCCCCTCAATGAACATAAACTACAAATATAAAATTTATACAATATATGAATATTATCAAAGTCTAAAGTATCAGGATAAAGTGTAAATTTTGCCAGTGCTATCTACTTTTGAAAAATAAAAAAAAATTCCTTAATTATCAGTACCATCTAAAATGTCCTAAATCGTTTAAATACTACCTGAAATGAATGCGTTACAATTTTTTAAAAGATTTCTTAAATCATTCTGGTACTATCAAAAATGTCTTAAAACTTTCAAAAACGTCCTAAAATTATCAGTACTATCTAAAATGTCCTAAATCGTTTTAGTACTGCCTAAAATCCGTTAAAATTGTCTAAAAGATTTCCTAAATCGTTCTAGCAATATTTGAAATGTCTTAAAACTTTCACAAGGGTCCTAAAATCATCAGTACTCTCTAAAATACCGGAAATCGTCCTGGTACTATCGTAATATTTCAAAACAAAATAGTCCTAAAATAATCAGTACTCTCTAAAATATCCTTAATCGTCCTGTTACTAACCCAAGTGTCTTATAAGTTTCAAAAAAACGTCCTAAAATTATCAGTACTATCTAAAATGTCCTAAATTGTTTAAGTACTGCCTAAAATGTTCTAAAAGATTTCCTAAATCGTTCTAGCAATATCTGAAATGTCCTAAAACTTTTAAAAGGGTCCCTAAAATCATCAGTACTCTCTAAAATATCCTAAATATGGTACTAAACGTAATGTTTTAAAACTTTTAAAAAGGTCCTAAAATTATCAGAACTCTCTAAAATATCCTAAATCGACATGTTACTAACCCAAGTGTCTTAAAACTTTCAAAAAATGTTCTAAAATTATCGGTACTGTCTAAAATGCCTAAATGGTTTAAGTACTTCTTAAAACTTTCAAAAAGGTCCTAAAATCCTCAGTACTCTCTAAAATACCATAAATCGCCGTTACTAATCCAAGTGTCTTATAACTTTCAAAAAAATGTCCTAAAATTATCAGTACTATCTAAAATTTACTAAATCGTTTAGGTACTGCCTAAAATGTTCTAAAAGATTTCCTAAAACTTTTAAAAGGGGCCCTAAAATCATCAGTACTCTCTAAAATATCCTAAATACGGTACTAACGTACTGTTTTAAAACTTTTAAAAAGGTCCTAAAATCATCAGCTCTCTAAAATATCCTAAATCGACATGTTACTAATCCAAGTGTCTTATAACTTTCAAAAAATGTCCTAAAATTATCAGTACTATCTAAAATATCCTAAATCGTTTAGGTTCTGCCTAAAATGCGTTAAAATTGTCTAAACGATTTCCTCAATATCTGAAATGTCTTAAAACTTTTAAAAGGGTCCTAAAATAATCAGTACTCTGTAAAAATATCCTAAATCGTTCTGTTACTAACCCAAGTGTCTTATCAACTTTCAAAAAATGTCCTTAAATAATCAGAATTATATAAAATGTCCTAAATCGTTTAAGTAGTGTCTAAAATACGTTAAAATTCTCTAAAAGATTTCCTAAACCGTTCTAGCAATATCTGAAATGTCTTAAAACTTTCAAAAGGGTCCTAAAATAATCAGTAGTAATGTTTTAAAACTTTCAAAAATACCCTAAATCGTCCTGTGTCTTATAACTTTAAAAAAATGTCCTAAAATTATCAGTACTATCTAAAATGTCCTAAATCGTTTAGGTACTGCCTAAAATATAATATAATAATATCTTTATTAGCCAGAATGCTATACAGAAAACATATAATAGTATAAATATATAAAAAACATAAAATAACACAGAAAATAAATAAAATCATATAAACTTAAGACAATACGTATACATTATGACAATTTAAAATATATTATCACTATAGTGATAATATATGAGATCTAATACAATTTTTAAAAGTTGTGATATCACTACATTGTTGTATATCCGGGGGTAGCTTATTAAATTCAAGCATACCCTTGTACATAGTAAAGTTTGACATTTGTACTGTTTTACATCTATCAAGTTGGAAATGGTTTATATTACGAGTATTATAATTGTGGACATTACGCACATATTTAATATTATCGGACAAGTAATCAGGTACTAAATTGTTTTTAACCTTAAAAATAAATAACATAACATCAACATATATTTTTTGTTTCACAGACAAAATATTCAAGACATTTATCATGGTTTGTATAGGCGTATAACGATTCACATTTAAAATTACTCTCATAGCTCTATTCTGTATAATTTGTATTTCATTAACTATATACCTGGGTAAATTATATAAAAGGGTTGAACAAAATGAAATATGTGGTAGTGCTATACTTTTATAAAGTAGTAGTTTTGTGTATAAGGACAGATTTTTACCTATTCTAGTTATAAAAAATACTTTTTTGCTTAACTTGTTCATTACATAGCTTGCATGTTTGTGAAAATTTAATTGTTCATCAAGGATCACTCCGAGATATTTAATTTCTTTTACACATTCTAATTTGACATTATTAACACTTATATTTAAAAAATTAAAATCAACATTTACAGTCTTATATCTACTCCCAAATACACAGAATTTAGTTTTTGACACATTTAAACATAAACTATTGCTATTTAGCCACTCACATAGCAATTTTAAATCGTTGTTTATTAGTTCACTCATTACATTTAAATTGTTCCCTTCTATGTATAGCATAGTATCATCTGCGAACATTTTTATTTTGCTGGATTTAACTATTTTTGCCATGTCGTTTATATACAATATAAATAAAATTGGCCCAAGCACAGTTCCTTGCGGTACTCCATATTTAACAGGTTTACAACTTGAATACATACTTCCATATTTAACTTTTTGTTTTCTATTATGAAGGTAGGATTTGAACCATTCCAGTACCTTTCCACTTAGTCCCATTTTTTTCAATTTTAGTAATAGCAAATTTTTATCTATTGTCTCAAAAGCTCTTTTGAAGTCTAAAAATACTGCCAACACAAAGTTCCCACAATCTATCGCTTTTAAAAATTCATTACAAATATGTACAACCACTGACTCACATGAATAACCTCTTCGAAACCCAGATTGGTTTGATACTAACACATTATTTTCGACACAATATTTTAATAGTTGCTCCTTAACCACAGATTCTAACAGTTTCTCATATATTGGTACTGTGTTAATCGGTCGAAATTCACAGCTTTTTTTAGTATTGGACACTTTTTGTACTGGTATTATCACAGATGTTTTCCAATTTTTCGGAACTTCTCCGTATGATAATGACGAGTTGATTACATCCAACAATCTATTTCCAACTACATTAAACACATCTTTCAGTACATTCGTTGATATGCCATCCTCACCACCATTAACATTTTTCATGCCTTTTACTATATTTTTTAAATCACATAATCCAATAGCCTTAAACTCAGAAAAATAGCCGTAGAAACGAACACTGTCCAACAAAGCTTCGTCAAAAACTGTATTTATTGAAGCAACAATATCTTCAACGCTATTTATAAAATATGAGTTAAACTCTTCTACAATAGATGTTGGGTTATTTATCCATTTATTATTAAACAATATTTCATCGGGACAACTCTTTTCTGAACATGGTAGCAAAGTTTTTAATGTTTTCCACATCTCTTTGGGCTGATGTTTATACGTATCAATTTTATCCAAGTAAAACTTGTCTTTTTGTTTCTTTATTTGCTTTACTATACTGTTCCTAAGAATTATATAGTCCCTCCAAATTTCACCATCTCCAGTAAGTGATGCTCTTTTATATGTTGTATCTCTTTGTTGTATCATGTTCTTTATTTCATCATTCATCCATTCCTTGTTCTGGTACTTTTTTTTTATTTTGACTTTTATAATTGGGCACATATTGTCTAATACGTTTGTAATGCTTGCAATGAAATTTTCTGCCAATGCACTTACATCTGAGGTGGTATTGTTCCATTCGACATCTAACAACATTTCTTGTAACCTTTCGCTGCTGTAATTTTTCATGCGTCTGCACGACAGTGTCATGTCTTCATTAATATTATCAACAGAGTTTGGCAATGAAATACTAAGAATATAATGGTCACTTATTCTTGGGGTAGTATGAACGGTGTGTATAAGATTATGATTATTGGTCAGGATGTAATCAATTAAGGTTGCACTTGATTGTGTTACTCTTGTTGGCACTTCCACAAGTTGTTTAAAACCATGCCTATATATGATTTCTTTAATTTTATTTCCATAAAAAGTTGATTGCATTAAGTTATAATTAAAGTCTCCAACAATAGTGTTAATGCCTTCAAAAGTGCTAACAGTTTCCAGGTATCCATGAAAGTAGTCCAAAAATAAGGCATCTTCCCTTTGCGGTGGATGGTAAATAACAGTTATTAAATATTTTTGACCATATATTTTAATTTCTATTGAAAGCAACCATAAATAATTTGGAAAATAGTGTACAGTTTTGACTTTATATTTAAGGCTATTGTGTACAAACATCATAACTCCCCCTGTTCTACAATTATCTGTGCAGCATTTTTCCAGGTTATAATTATCAATTTTTAATTCCGTTGATTCAACATGAGTCGTAACATGGGTCTCTGAGAGCAAAAGAATAATTGGCCTTATTTGGGAAACGAAATAGACAATTTGGTCCTTATTGTTGAGAAATCCTCTACAGTTAAAATAAACAATACTGCTTTTTAACTTTGGTTCTTCTAATTGCTATTTCACGAATTTGTTTTTTTGTAATTCTTCATATCTTTTATATGTTGTACAGGTATCTTTGTTCCATGCTTCATGGTCAGTTTCTAATTTCAATCCATACTTAACATTTGACTGTTCACAATTTATACATTTGGTAATATTACTAGTGCAGTTTTTTTTATCATGATCTCCACCACATTTTTGACAAATTTGCTCACTTTTTTCCTGACAATCATTAGCGATGTGTCCATATCTCCAACATTTGTAACATTGAATAACTCCATAATCATTGAACAAACGGCAACGGCTCCATCCTAGATTAACTCGTTCTTTCTTAATCAATATATCATAAGTATTTGTATCTAACTCAAGTATTATATTAAATTTGTGGTTAATAATCTTAGTTCTGCGTAATACTTTTATGTTACTTTCTTCATTTAAATCGTTTTGTCTAATTATTTTTTTAGATATAGTTTCATCATCTTCCTGATTCAATTCACCATTAATATTAACAATTTTAATTCGGTTTTCGAGAGTTTTAGGCTTAGTAACATTATAATTATCCCCTAACTTGTTCTGAATCGTATTTTGGATGTTTTCAATTTTATTGTCTTTTCCACAATTTATTAATAAACCACCATTTTTTACTCCTCTTCCCATAGAAACTCCACCACCTAATTCAACTGGGTCTACTTTTTGTCTAAGTTCTTTTCGAATTTCATTTGCATCTTGGTTATGTTTGTGCTTTACTACTAATACATTACTACCAGCAGCGTTCGCGTATGACTTATTATTTTTCAGGTTTCCATCATATATATTTTTATTTAATTTTAACTGCCTTACTTCTTCTTTTAGTTCTCTATTTTCTACTACAAGTAGCTCAATTGTGCTCAAATGTGTTAAAATTATCCAAAAGATTTTCTAAATCGTTCTAGCATCAGTACTAAATACCTAAATCGTCCTAGTACTATCGCAAGTATCTTAAAATTTAGAAAAAATGTGTTACAATATAAAAATATAAAAAGTTAAAAAGCAAGACCATCAATAAATGGTAGATTTTATTTAAAAAATCAATTTTGAACTTATTGCATTTATTTTGTTGTTGATAAAGTTTAAAAAAATCTAAATTTCTTTAATTTATTGTATTTTATTTATGATTTTCTTTGTTTTTAAGTTAAAATTTTCAGGATAAAGCATAAATTTTGTCTATGAAAAGTAGATAGCATTGATCAAATATTTAGTCTATTGCCTTATACTTTCTCAAAGAGGAAGACCATCAATAAAGTAGTAGATTGTATTTAAAAAATCAATTTTAGATTAACTGTATTTATTTTGTTGTTGATAAATTTGAAAAAAAAAACAAATAACTTTGATAAAATAAATTGAATTATTATTATTTCTGCTTACCTCTACAGTAAGAGTACCGGACACGGGGTCGCTCTCGAACGGTCTGCTTTGCAAGGAAATAATCTGCCGTTGCGATGGGTTTATCAATAACTCCTCCACGCCAACGATACCCAAACCCAAAAACTTGTGCGGTTGGACAGCGCGGTCGTAAATTTCGAACAGCAGTTCCGCCGTTTGCGAAGACAAATCGCTAAAAACAATTTGATGATATTGTATCGCCTATTTAACTGTTCGCGGCGACATTAGCCACGGTTTTTCAGCGTTCACTTACAACAGGAAATGTTCGTCCCAGTACGGCGAGTCGGTGTTCTTCTGAACGGAGGTTTGATTCTTTTGCGGAGGCTCGTCCATCTCGACGACGCAGAACGGTTCTGCGCAGCCGTGCTCCCCGCCAAGCTGCGCGGCACGAATCACCTTGACGAGCAAACGTTTTTCTCCGGGCAACTGCCGACCCATCATCGACATGTGGTTAGGCGTGGAAGTGTACGCATTGGACTGCAAACGTTTTCAAATATAACTAGGGTTGGGACAGTTGAAATTTTCAAATGAAAATTTCATTTAGTTGGAAAAGTGAAATTTTTAAAAATTTCAAATAAAATTTTCAATCCGAAAATTTCAACACTGCCTGTGAAACTTTCAGAAATTTCATTGAAAGTTTCGCAATTTACTGAAAATTTCGCATAAATTTCACATGCGGCCTCCCCTGGGACCTTTAATAATAATTTACAACAGATTCCGAATCGACCAATAAGAACGAGTTATCAAGCGTCTGGGCGTTTTTGTTTAGTTCGGCTTGGATTTGAATACACTATAAGTAATTATTGTTACTTATATGCATAAATTAATTTAAATAATTTAATTCAGTTACCAATTTAATTTGTAAATTAAATCAGACTTTAAATTTTTTTTAAAAGTCATGATTAATTTAAACTTTTACTTTTGCTAAATATAATTACATCGGAAAACGGATGAAAAATGCCTTTGGCTCATAAAACTTTGATGTAGTTTCTTAAATTTTCGTAAAATTTCATTAAAATATATGAAAATAATAAATATATATAAATATAAAACAATGAAAGTGGCACAATCTCATTAGCTTACCAAAAAGTGCTATATCTCTTTTAGTTTTAGTAATTTTAAATATATTTTAAAAGGAAATCTCAAGAAATTTGTGGTAAACATAGGTATTTACTATTTATATTATTGGTGCAGGGGCCCACAGAGGGGTAGGAGGTAAGAGATGCAATTTGCCATGGTCCCTGAGTGGGCTTATTTCAATATTAATATATTACACTTAAAGTGATTGAAATTTATTGAAAGTTTCAATAAATTTCATAAATTTCATGAAATTTCAGAAATTTAGGAAATTTTAATAAATTTCATAAATGTCATGAAAATTTCAAGTGAAATTTCAAGTACAAGCAAAAAGTGAAATTTTCCCAACCCTAAATATATCACAGAGTTTATTATTTAGAAAATATGTTTACCATGCTGTCATAGTGGACCGGAAGTATGGGGCCGTGGGTGGCCACATGCCTAATCAGTCTGGGACAAGTTGGGTACTGTGCCAAGTTCAAATGGACTTCGGCGTTCCTTATGGACGTCGTCAAAATGTCACTGAAAAATAATTTTCATTGGAAGTCCGCAAAATGTGATGATCCTCAATAATAATTGAATCGGGAGTTCAAGAACAGTACAAGTGCAAAATTAAAAATTTTGACAAATTATTTTATAAAAAAATTTTATAGTTTAAATGCATTTTTGTAAGAATGTTTTAACTATTGAACATAATATGGTTATTATCACAATCCACACAACAAGGTCTGTTCTATCTCGTACTAAAAATATAAAAAATCACTTAACCCAAAGCACAAAAATTGTAAACAACAAAAAAGGCCGCCGTTAAACTGTGAATTCACAGTTTAACGGCGGCCTTTTTTGTTGTTTACAATTTTTGTGCTTTGGGTTTGTGCTCTGTTTATACAGATTAATAATCGTTTTAAACGTTGTGTTTCTCATAGTAAGCCTTAAAAGAGGCCTTAAAGTGCTAAGATCAACCATTTTACTCCTCTATTGTAAAAAATAAACTTTATTCTATCAGGGCTGTCATAAAACTGTCAAATGTCAATTTTAAGGTTAAATTATAACCCACAAATTAACCTTCAAATTGTCATTTGACAGCCCTGATAGAATAAGGTATATTTATTATAAAAGAGGAGTAAAATGGTTGTACTTAGCACTTAAAGGCCTTATTTGAGGCTAACAAGTACCTCTGTAAAAAACCCAACGTTTAAAACAATTATTAAACAGCACAAACCCAAAGCACAAGAATTGTAAACAACAAAAATGGCCGCCGTTAAACTCTGTGCAGTGATTTTTAGTATTTTTAGCATGAGATAAAACATACCTTGTTGTGTGGATTGTGGTTATTATATTTTATAAAATAGTTAAAATTTTCTCAACAAAAAAATGCATTTTAAACTAACAAAATGATTTTGGACTTGTACTGTTCTTGATCTCACCGTTTCAATAGGGGGTTTGCATTAGCAAGGGTTTTTTAATTAAAAATATAAACATTGCGTTAAAAATAACATAATTACGATAACAGTTTATGGATTATTGTCATGGATTATTGTCAAACTCGCTATTTGAAATTCATTCAAATTTGAAGATATCTGCTTTTGAAGTCTAGCTGTTAAGACGTCACTTTATAGTCCGTTTTTAGATTTAAAACAATGTTGCTAGATGTCAATATTTACTCTCTTTGGAAAAATATGGTATGCAAACAATTATAAATTAAAATAATTAGTTTGAATATTATAAGGGGTGATATTTCCTATTAGAAATTTAATTTGAAAAAAACAAATTTTTATTAATTAAAAAATAGTATGTTAGTATCTTCTAAAGCTTAATTTTTGAAAGTGGTAAAGTTATTAAAAAATATTAGGCGGCGCTGGGGCATCCCAACTAGATATTTAAAAATATAATTTGGATAAACTACTGCTTTTTGATAAATTGAATACTATTTTTAAATTAACCAATTAAAAATACAACTTTTTTGTCTTCAGCATTTTTCTGTTGTTTAATTTTTAAACACTGATAACTAATTGCCGAAAAATAACCAATACAAATCGACCAAAATAATATTTAAACTTGCTTTTAGGACCATTTTTAAAAAAATGTGCAAACTCCCAATTATAATTGAGGGCTTTAGAATAAAAGAGGTATAAGTGCTGCTGCTGTGTTAAGCTGCACTTATACGCCCTTTTATTTAAGCTGTGGAATCTAAGGCCCTCATTTATAGTTGTTTCTATAATAATATCTACTTACTTAAAGTTTGTTATCGTTTTTGTTTTTTTTATAGATGTCACTATTTTTCTAAACCGTTATATTTATTTAAATGGGGATAGAAATATAGTATTTTTAGTGAGGTATTATAATAACAAAACATAGTTTTGAGTACTGCTGATATTCCTAGGTACTTAAGTGTAGTATAAGTGTAAAATTCCGCGTTAAGTGCTAAGTCAATAAATATGGCATGTTTGTTTAAGATCAAGAGTAAGCCTTTGTACTTATCAAGAAAGTTAACTCAGGTCAGTTTTTTAATGCAATGACTCACTTGAAAGTTTTCACTGCAAATTAGTTTAATTGTAATGACTACCTTATTAATGGATTAAATAATTACTTTTTGCAGTGATTTAATTGCTGTAAAATAATAACCAATTATTAAGACTAATCAAGGGGAAAATTAACTGTAAGGATAATCCAACGCAGAAGGTTAAATAAAAAATTTCCTTACGTAATCACTTCTTGCAGATGAGTTTCGTCCAAGTTGTTCTTGATGTTGCCAACGGGCGCTAGCGCCACCTTTATTTCCGGCCAACCGTCGCACTTAATTTCAGCCTGCAGTTTTTCCGACACGCAGAAAATGTTCATCCGGGCCCGGAACCGGTTCACATTCACCCGGTAATGCGAAGTTTCCACTTTTTCGCCTTTTTGTCGGTAGCTTTTCAACTGGAAGGCCGGAGTGGCCTCGCAGTCCATAGTAATTGTCTGAAAAGAATAAAAAGGTTACATTTATATATTTAAAAAAATGCCTTTCCTACTGCATTTTATTTTAAAAAAAACCTAACGGGTCTCAAGTAACACATTAGGTTTTATGATTGCTGTAACAGCACTTTTAAAATTACACCTTAAAGCTAAAAACCTAAAGGTTTTATTATATTTGCTTTAATGAGGTTGTCACAGCTTTTATAAATTCTCCTCTCACGCCATAAATGTTATGTACATGAATTTATTCTACAGTGACCTGTAAGTTTATATTTCCTTTGCTGATTTTCTATGTATTTTCATTATTGTACGGCGGTGTATAATAAGGTCAGATTTTAATTCAGCGCATCAAAATCATAGGTTTGTATACCTACCTACCTAATAATATTCATCTGGGAAATGTTACCTATACGGTTTACCTAAATATATACTACTAATAATAATAATACTATAAATATCGCAAATGGGACAAAAATCATTCGCTTAGAAATGTCAAACATTAATTTTACAGTTTATTTTTAGTTTGCACGACTTAACATTATTTTTATTTATTTAGCATTTGATTGCAATAAACATTCTTCCTGTTTTTGTGGTTTTCCTGGTTTGCTGATTTGATAAACCGAATTTTTTTGTAAGTAAATAAAAATATATTTGTTGCCTTATTTTTTTATTTTTTAACTGCTAAAGCACTCAAGCAAAATATCAAGAAGCCAATTATCGAAATTTGTTTAACCTTTATTGAATAGTTGGTAGCTTAATAAAAAAAACTCGATCACTTAAACGATCGGCAATTATGATTACATCATCTTGGCAGAAAATTTAATTTGCCACATTGACCCAGATCGTTGATTTGGAAAAATAATAAAACCGAAATAACGAGACTTTAATTTGCCTAATTTGGCATCGAAGGATAATAGTTCTAAATACGGAGATTACCAAAGTAAAAAGATGAATTATTAAATTGTGTATTATATTAACCTTGTCATAAGGTATATTATATTATATATCTATAAAGACATCTTTGGAATTGCCAATGTCAAAAGAACAAGGAAAAAAGATAAAAATTATGGAAATTTCTAAAAAACGTGTAGACATGAACATTATTAAAAAAACGACATGTAATTTTTTTATAAATTACATAGGTAAATGCTCTTGAATATAATTTTTAATTAGTTTTATAATTACTGTTCTATTTAATAAATACGTTAAAGTCCAAATAAAGTACGATATAAAGTATTTTAATAATAATATAATATACAGGGTGGTTCAAACAAATAACATTTAATTACAATTAAATTGCAATTTTAAAGTGAAAGAAGTATGAAAACCAATTTAATGCCCAACTATATATGGTACCTAATATAATACTCACCAAATTTTAATAAAATAAGGTTTTTACTTTGGAAGAAATAATTTTTTCTCAAAAAAATATACGCAACTTCAACACCTTGTATTTCTAAAACTGTTGAATTTTTGATATAAGTTTATTAAGAAAATTAATATTATTTTAACGTTTTTTATTGATTCTCAAATTATTAAAGGTTCCTTTTGGACCACCCTGTATAAAACATAAATATGATATAATAAAAAAAGTAGTAAATGTACTTTTTTAATTAGATTTAGTTTTTGTATGTTTTTGAATAAAAAAAATAAAAAAAACAAATTATTATTAAGATACATACTTTTACAAAAAAATCCAAAATACGTTCGTATAAATAAATTGTGTTGAAATTTTTATTTATAAATTTTTACCCTTCATGTAATTATTTAGGTATTAAGTTAATTGGCATTAACTCTCATAGAGAAAGTGTTGAATAAAAACATGAAATACACCGTTGACTTGTTTTGATTTCTCTTGCATTAAATGCATCATTCGTGGAAATTGCGTGTTTTGTTTCCGGTTATCTGCTTAAAATAATTTTAGCTTTGTTTTCTTGTCACCCCACATCTATTTTTATTTATGAAATGTTTTTAATTATTGTAACGTTTAAAAATAGATTGTTAAATAATATTTATAAATAGATTGTTGTTAAATTTATTACATATAAATATTTTTTATTGGTGTTGGTACCTACCACGTCATCTTTGGAGTCGGCTTCTGCAAAAATGTTCGTCAAAGAGGGGGGGTGTGTTTCCGGTAAAATACGGACCAACTCCACGCCAATTCCTTGCTAAAGTAAAAAAAAATACAAAATTAGTATAAGTTAAAATTGCACTTTGACTTTTTATTGCCGTGTAATTTTTGGGCCAATCAAGGTTTACGAAAGATTTTAATTATAAAACATTTGAAAGCTGAAAGAAATTACGTAATTTTATTAAAGATAACATCATGCATTTTATTTTAATATGAAAGTAAAACTTACTTCATGCGAATTTCTAAACAGTTTTAAGTTTTATTTTCTTCATTTGCACGTAATCCTTGGGTATTATAATTTTTCACATTTTACAAATTATAAGTAAATTGAAAAACCAGTTTTTGTAATACTCAATTAAAATTTATGATTCATACAGACTGCAGTTAATGTTCTTTAAAAAAAGTCATTTCAAAAATAGTTGGGTATAATTACTTTAACAGGGAGAAAAAGTTTCGTAATTTAAAACCATTTTTGCTAATATTGAATGCAAGTTGTTATAGTATATTAGGTATGTATAAACGCCATTTTAGTCATGAATTTAAATTAGGCACAAGCGAGAGTTTAATAGACTGGGCCAAAAAAGTCGACTATTTTTTTTTTGTAAAGTATATCGAAAATATTGTTTGGGGTGACAAAAAACATTATGGTGAAAGTTTGAGTCCATAATATTAATATAAAGAAGTCTATCATCGCAATTTGAGATTTTTTTTGGGTAAGTTAAAAACTTGAATTCTTTTATCGATGATTATCTTTATATTATTGATAAAATTACTGAAAATTAAAAAAAATAACACATTAGAGTTTTTCTTTAGAAAATATTATTTATACTGTTACCTATTTAATCGTTTAAATAATAACAATCATATTGTTTTTTTGTTGGAAATTGTTATTTAGTTAGGTAATACACATTTATAAAGAAAAAAATCAAATTATCACACATAAAAAAATAAATCTACAAAGAAAAAAACAAAAATTTTGTTTTGACTTCAACTTTAACCTTGAATAACTTTTGATTAAGTGAATTTAGCCAAGAATGTTAAGAGGCTTTTTTGTAAAGCATTTGATTTCCCATAAGAATATTTATCGGTTTTTTTCTGGGTACTGATTTTTACATGAATTACAAAATCCCAAAGTTAAAAGATCAAAATGTAAAATTATACCAATGTTTAAGGTATGATTTTAAGGAAACGGTTCATCTGACGGAAAATTTCATTTTAACCTTTTTTGTAGAGCATTTAATTTTGTAGAGTCAATTTTGTTAAACTCAATAGTTTGGGAGTTCTGAGACAAAAACTTGCTAATTTTTTTTGTCACCCTAAACCATATTTTCGATATACTTTTAAAAAAAAAACAATAGTTGATTTTTTTTGGCCCAGTCTAGTGTTTAAATAAATGAGTGTCTAGAAAAGTAGTAGAAAATTAAATAAAAATATTTCAAAACAACTGATTTTTGGTGAAAACCCAATATAAGTTAAAACCACTTAAAAAATAAAATTATTAAAATTAAAATAAATATGGTTAATTTGAAAGTAATAATTACACTTGATTTGGACATAAACAATGTCTAATATGTTTTGTCGTGTATTTTGCCTCAATTGCTTTCATAATAATTTTTTTGAAATGTTTGTTTTTCCTAGTTGTTCCCCACATATTATTATATTCCCAGTGTTAGTTTTACACCCTTTTTTAATGGCAAATGTTTATTAACGTAATAGGAAGTCCAACTTCCAATATGTAGGTATATAAATAATATTTATGTATAGAAATGAGTCATTGAAGGGCACGGTGCAGATAAGTAAATTGTAACGTTATTTTAACGGAACAAATAGAATTTTTATGGTAACAATGTTTTATTGGACGGCATATTTTTGCGTTCGTTTTATTGTCACCATGACGTGTCCTCAAGTCATTAAAAATGCCATAAATAACTCATTTAACCTGCATGGCATGTGCGCCCCTTAATGGCGTGTCCTCTACGCAAACACGCACCTTAACGTTAACAAAAAGAACAATTTTTCCCAAACTAAAATTGTACGGGTTTAGATTTTTAAATTTTGTATTTACGTGTTACGCAATGGCGAGAATCCAGCTGGCCAATAAAAATACTTTGTGTTCGCGCAACAAATCGGAATCGATGACGTGTGCGATGATGTAACAATCACCTTTTGTTTAGGTATTCGACGAGCGAACTCAGGTGGGCGGACGACCGGCAATTTTTTTTCGTACTATCTAACATCCAACACAGATTTAATTTTTAGTTTATATTATATTTTATTACATAGTTAAATCAGTAATAGCCTTTAAAGTATCAGAACTTTTAATAATATGTTTATTTTTTATTAACTTTTAAATATAAAATCAGGGTCGTGAATAGTAGATTTTTCTATAAGTGAAGTCTTTTATTAGTGAAAATTTCCATGAGATACCTATTAAACTCACTTTTCTTACGCATTGAACACGCTGATTATTATTATTTTTATTACTATTAGTATCTCAATGATTGAGACTCAATCCAAAAATATAAAAGTATTAAATAGTTTCTTGAGGCCAATATTTAAAAATATTATATGAACCTTTTGATTTCGCCGTAATAAAGCAGTCAACTGATTTAACTGATAAAGCGTCAAAAATTTCGCGTACAGTGCCCATAAAACATTCTCTTCTCTTTTACTGTGAAAAAGTGCAAATTTCTACGATTCGTATTCTTAATGGAAAAACATTAATTAATAAAATAAAAATTATCATAGATCATTATAGTCGCTCCTCGTATAGTACTGACAACTGTCAGTCTGCCTCTTGTAGACGTTCTAACCTTAAAACTACAAGATACATTTTTTACGATTTTTAAGATTGCTAATAGGTAGCTTGGTTTAGTAGTAAACCAAGATAGGTAGCAAGTTGTGTTGAACACTTTTAAGAATACGAAAAACAATATTTTTAACTGAAAGCAAACTGGCAACAAATCCTATCTATCTTTTTGTTTAGACTGCCATTAATAGTTTAATGATCTTCCTTAAAATACTGTTGAAAATGTTTTCTCTTCTTTCCTGTATTCCTTGATTCAATTATTCCGTAAATTAATTTAGGAAGTGAAAATAATGTAATTAATTACACTGTCATGCGCAAAAAAAGAATAAAGAACAGTGGGTGTTAATTAAATGAAGTTAGGGTATAAATTGAGAATAATTAAAAATATATAGAACAAGTTAATAAAACTAAGTGATAGAAAAAAGGATAACTACAATTTCAATCATTGCTAATAATATTATTAGGAAAGTGAGAGTGAAAAGTCAAGTTATCAATTAATTGCTTTAAGTTTGCCAAGTTTGTGTTAAAATGCAACAACAACTTGAAAATAAAAAAAAAACTTGTCCATGTAAACTAAGTAGATACTACCTAATTACCTACTCTCATTATTGTTAGCATGCATAAACATAAGCAAGATAAAGTTTACATTATATGATAAATTTGGTAAAATAATAAATATCAGAAAACAAAAATATATTTTTATAGTCTTCCCAATTAATTACATATGTCAATTAGTTCTAAAATTAATTATTGGGTCATTTGTTTAAACAAAAATAAAATTTAATTTTAAAATAAGCTTGTAAATGTTATCGTTTGTTTATTTTTTGCGAAAAGTGTTCCAGATACGGTTCAAGGTCATTGGAAAAATACATCCCAATGAAACCAAGCCTTTAAAATTAATAAAAAAAGATAATCTAACATACATTAATAATCAAATATCCAAAAAAATTATATTAAAGTTAATTGAAACAAACAGTTCGGCGCAAACAGAATTTAAAGTTTGCGAAAAAAAGTTAGTTTTTCCTGTCGCCTCACCCGCCTCCAGGCTTTTTATCTACTATTATAATAATTTATCGACAAATTTAAAATTTTATTTAAAAAATTCAAATATTACAGGTTTTATACCATTTTAAATACTTTTTTATTTTAATAAAATAAATAATAAAAATTTAAAATCGAATTTTTTTTTCGATGTTTTGAACAATATTTCTTCCGGTTATATATATACATACAACCCGTTCAGAGTAAAACCGAATATAGAAAAACGTATAGGGCGTGCCTCCCTCCAACGCGCGACACAGTAGCTAAGCAAATAGCCTGCATCGCTAATGAGATTTTTTGCATTATTATCATTTAATTTTTACCTGCTCGACCTTTCGTCATGTCGTTTATCACACAAGCTACTGTGACGCGCGTTGGAGGGAGGCGAGGCCACGCCCAAAACGTTTCCCTATATTCGGTTTTACTCTGAACGGGCTGTATATATAAATGTTATAATTGGGATATGAAGCAAGGTGCTGGGTACTTACATCGTCACCGGTTTTTTTCGTGTAATCGTTCATGGCCTGTATCCAAACGGCCAACAGCTCGTTGACGATCACATAATCGTTGTACAACCATTGAAAAACGTCATTCACCCACAACACGCAAACGTTGTCCGGTCCGGTGCACTGCGGCGCCGGCACGTACTTGACCTTCCTGGTGTCCGGCGCCGGACTCTGCCGCGTGATGCGCTTCCGGACGGGCGGCGTGGGCGGCACGTAGCCGCCGCCGCCGGGCGCCGATTTCAACGGGGCACTCGATTTTTTACCGTCGACCGCGTCGGACGGCGCGACGACGCTTTCCGCCGTTTTGGACGGAGTCAGAGTCGCTGGCGGTTCGACTTTCAGTTTTTTGTCCGCCGATTTCGAGACGAATCGGTTGTAGAGGAACTTTCCGAGCCACAGCACGAACAGGGCGGCCAGCAGCCACCCGAACAACAGCATGGCCAAAGTGTCCATTGTAGTATCACCTGGAATCACATCACAAAATTTAATATTATATTAATAATAGGTTTAACGCTTTTATAACTAAGAAAGAACTGAACTTACACCCCGCCAAAGTTATTTGTTTTGAGTGCGGACTACCTGAGCTTATATACTGCGTTGATAAGCCAACGGAGGCGAGATGTAAGAACATCACGTGATTCACACCGTCCAACGACGTGGCCTTTGCCGCAATCGGTACATACTATGCAACCAAGACTGCACACGGCAAATTGTATCACAGATACTAATATGTCCCAAAGGAATCTAGAATTATTACCAGTAAGGGGTCAAGAAAGTTTCTTGAAGAAACTAACAAAATTTAATTGCTTTTATAACTAGAAAATCACGATTGAGGGACATTTTTTTAGTTTATTATGATATTTATTCTTTCTTGATATTTTAAATATTACAATTTTAAAATAAACCATATTTTCTGCTCAGTTGTTAAACATGCTCGATCACTTTAGATCTGGGACTGAAATGGCAAAAAAGTGGCCAAAATTCATTAAAAAAATTAATAAAGATATCATTATGAAATTTTAACACCATTAAATAATTAAATAGTTTAAATTAATAGTTTAATTAATAGTTTAAATTAATTAATTAATTAAATTAATTAATTGTGATGTAATTTATAACCTTAAAATATTCGCACATTGTGATGCTAAAAAGCTAACATTAAGAATAAACAGGGAAGGGTTTCAGAACTCGATAAAATGTTCAAATGTCACACCCGTTACATTTTAAGAAAATTTTAGAAAACAAAGTATGCAATTTTTGTACATTTAAAATACGTGCTTGTTTAAGGTTACTATTCAAGTTTTACACAAAAAATATTACTATATGCTTTCATCCAAAATTTTACAGTATCAACTTTAAAAGCCAACTTGGTCGCACTTGCCGATTTTCTAAGGTCGCGCCCGTTACGCTACGTTATTAAAGGTTTTCTTTACAAGTTTGTATTGACATTTTGTTTGAGTTAAATACCTAATTTTTCATACTATTTTATCATAAAAAAACGCAGTTTTAGTGTCGCATCCGTTACAATGGAAATACCCCCCTGTAAAATTTTTATTTATTGTGCGATTTTAACAGTATTTGTTTTAAAGTGTAGATCTTGATACACTGTATTTTTGGAGCAAAAAACTTACAAAATGCAAGGCCTACTATGTCGGTTTTTAAGAGTAAATTTTTAAGAATTCATATTAGCGATTTTTTTAAACTTTTAAATTTAAGCACGGCACTTACTTCACCACCCCTCAAAACGACACTTTGGTAAATTTTATTGAAAAATTTTAAGTAGAAAAATGCACAATAATAACTACAAAAATTTATTCTGTCAAGTTATCCATGGATGAAAAAAATGAAATAAAATTAAACTTAGTAATAGTACCTTGTTACTATTAGTTTAATTTTATTTCAATGTTTTTTCATGGATAACTTGACGGAATAAATATTTGTAGTTATTATTGTGCATTTTTCTACTTAAAAAATCGCTAATATGAAATCTTAAAAACTTACTCTTAAAAACTAACATAGCAGGCCTTGTATTTTGTAAACTTTCGCAAATAAATATAAATTATTTCAGCTTTATTTTCAAATAAAAAAACTTAATCCTACTTAAGTTTATTTTTTGAAATTTATTTAACACTTCGTATTATAGTTAATAAATAAGTTGTTTGTTGATATTTTGTGTTTTAACTATAAAATTATGAATAAAAAAACGGCTAAGCTTTTATTAAAAAAAAATATATTACAAAATCTGTATTTGTTTTACAGTTACCGCCATTTAAACTCCACTACATAATAAGAGCAACTAGATTCCCAAAAAAAGACATCCCTGCTTAAAGTTAAAAATTGATAATTTTTTAAACAAATTATTTTTAAGTACAACATTTTAAATAGCTTTAATTTCAAAAAAAATATATTAAACAATCTCTATTACTTTTAAAATTAAAGCTGTTTAAACTTGAATAATGTTTAAGAAATATTTGCAATTTTGCTTAATTGTTTTAAAACTTTTTTATTGGTGAACATTTTTAAATTTTATAAATAAAATTTGAATTTTAATGTAACATCAATTTAGATTTTCTCAATTAAAAACTTCCCAAGCAGCATTTTAAGTAAAAGCGTAGAGCTTTGAGGCAATATTACTTAATTTAAGTAAATATTTTGTTAAATTAACCTTAAAAATTTACTTTGAAGTAAAACTTTTTTTAAAGTTATAATATAAGTTTTATTTATGTTATTTTTACCTATTTTAATAACCCTTAAGTTTCAACACTTTAAAGTATTATGAGGGACGTAATTTTTACGAAAGAAAATTACTTATAAGTGTATTTCACCTAAAGGAAAATTTAACGGTAATTTTAACGTCAGAATTTTTACTTATTGGTAAATTTTACTCATAAGTCATAATTTTACGATATTAAGACCACTTTATAACCGTAAATAATTCCTATTCGCCTGGTATTTTTTAGGGTTATTAGTGGGTAATAAATACTAATAATATTGACTAAACAAGGAAAAATAAACTTAAAGTGAAAAATAAAACTTTGCGGGAATTTTTTTTATGCCGCCATAATGAGATTTTAAGATGGCATCCATTACTTATCTAAACATTTATATAATATTTTTTCATGAATATCTTTCTAAAATATAATAAGAAAAGTTTTAGTTATTAAAAAATGATTAAAACTAAAAGATTTTTAAAAGATTTTATAAAATTTTGAAGGTTTTAAATTTTGTTGAATTTTTACCCAAGCAATAATTTTTCTTAAAACCGTAAAATATTTAGAGGGCATATAATTTTTAAGACGTATCTTACCTATTTTTATCAATAAAATAATGTGCGTTGGAGTTTTAATGCAAAATATCAATGGTTTTGACAATTTAAGTTATATTTTTTAATTTTACTCTAGGGTGGCCTTTATTACTTTGTAATTACTTAAGTTCCTACCATTTTGTAAAATATAAATTAAAAGAACAAAGAAATTACGAATATCAATGTTTAAGAAAGAGAGAGCAAACAGTTAGTAATTATAGCGTTATTTTTACTTAAATTTGTGGTATTTATATTGTTTTTATTACGTAATTCTCTTAGTAGATCAAAAAGGTTATTATGTGGGTAAAATAATGAAATAAAGCATTCCCCAAATTTGGTAATTTTTCGTATCTATACCGTTATAAAACCGTTTTGGTTAACCGTAAAAAATACTTTAAAGTTGACTAAGTAGTAAATTTGTAGTTATTTAAACTTAAAATGCTGCTTAATTAAGGTACGGTTAAATAGAAATAAAATATAAAATTAAATATTTATGCGACACAATTTTCCTAAATGCATTTTTATAAAAAAAATAGGTAAACCAAATGTAAAAGTAGAGTTAAGCTTAAAAAATCACATGACATCCTAGTAACTAAAATCTCCTAAATTGTTACCTTAAATGTCAAGTAGGTATTTGAAGTAAAATTTAAAGCAAACGTTCCCATAAATTATGCTTGCTCCAAACAAACAACACTCTATGCATTTGACGGGAACGTGAAATGTTCAAACAACGTTGTAAACCTTTAGAAACACGAAACAGACAATAACACTGAACTTTCGACAGCCGTTTACTTTAAGTAAACGTTATCAAATTTGGAGCGTCGCGCTCGATGACGTCACGGATCGTGCTCCATCATCGATGAAGATAACGACGTTGAATCGCGACCGCGATTGAGGGGTTTCGGGGGGGAAATTTCTCACCTGAGCGTCGCTTGGCGGTCATAATTTCGCGGGGTTCGCACGCACCGGACGGTCGCGTTAAAAATAGTCGTAAGAAGCGGCCGCTATCGCATCTTGGTGTTATCCAAGTCCGCGAACGCAGGTTTTAACACAAAATGTTTTTCGTTCGGTTATTTTCATCTTGGTTTATCATGTTGCACAGTGGCGTGCACCAAATATATTTTCCAAGTAATGATTGCAATCATGTGCTGTTTATACAGGGTGTCTCAAAAATCAATGATAACCGAAAGGGGTGGATAGAGGATGGAAGTCTAAGTTGAATAGGTAGTCTTTGCCGTTTTTTGATCAGACGCACCATTAATAAGTTATTAATAAAATAAAGTAGCCAATCACAGGCGTGCTCTAGCAGAATGATTAGAGGTGGGACAACACAAACTTGTGTAGAAATTCCATGGCTAAGAACATATTACATAATATTATTATACAATATATTGTGAAAGGACCTTAATTTTATTTTTCACTGTCACTGTCAGTGTTTTGGTTTTTTAGGAGTAATGTTCATTTTTTTTTCTACGACCACTATGTAAAAGTCACTTTTCATGATGGCATCGTTGCTTAGAAAATGAATCTTTTCATTGGCAAGGCAAAACACGAATGTAAAGTGACATTTCTGTGTGAAAAGTGACAGGTCTGTGTGAAAAGAACCGGAAAGCATCGTTTGACATTCAGCTGTCAAAAAAGTTTTTAGGTTATTTTGATTTGTATTTAAAAATAATAAAAAATAAAAGGGTCGCAGAAAAAAACATTCTGTTATACTTGTGAGAAAAGCTTTCTTCAAGCTCGTGTTAATGCACACTCGGCCTAACGGCCTCGTGGGCATCTTAAAAACTCGCTTTTCAACACTTGTAAAACAAATAACTATTGTGTGGGACAAATAGATCTACCTTTTCTTTTTCTTTTTTTAACGATTTAATAAATAAGTTAATACAAGGTTTATGGTGATATACTTTACCTTTTTAAAATAAGTTAAAATAATTATTTTATATAATATTAATAGTAATAAATTTTAACATTATTATTTAATTGGAGATATTTGAATGAATATGTAATAATCACAATACACACAACAATAGTATATTAAAGTACAAGTTGCAGAAGGCCACATATTCTCGCACGAATTCGAAATTTGGCCTCGAGCGACGAAGGAGCGAGTGGACGAACGAATGAGTGCGAGAATAGCCCATACAGCACACCAAATCACAATTACGATGTGTTCGCATTGTGACGATGTATCTAGATGCAGACACAGGGTTACACAATTCTACGATGTAAATGTGCTACGTTTACACATGGTATGCACACACGTATGCACAATGGTTAAACGTCCGCCTCACAATGTAGCCACAATACCACATTAACATATACACAAATTATGTGATCCACGGTGTGTTATCGGATACACAGTAGCTGTGTATTGTGCTTAAACTCTGCTTACACATGGCATTTGTCTCACTCGAATTGAACGTAAATATACTATTCTTTGTATATGTAGCTCTGTCGCACCGTGTATACAGTGTATACTATACACCCTGTCCAAAAAAAACTTTTGATGAGTCACTTCAGGAAAATAAGTTTTGCCGCTTGACTTTTCGTTCTCAAAACAGGTATTTTTTAAAATTTATAATATTATGTTTTTTTGAGAATGATAGGTCGGACGGCGAAACTTTTATTTTCCTGAAGTATCTCATTAAAGTTGCTTTAAAATTGTTCTTTTTTTCGTTCCACATCTTATAATATATACTTACTATTATGGAATGCTTTTACTTGGTGCCACAAAAAACAGAAGTAGAAAAACACAGGAAAATGACAGAACTTTTACAAGAAGATTAAAATATATTAAAAACTGAAATAGTAAAAACGCAAACATATATTATATATTATAGAAATACATTGTCAGCCTTTGCTGCAGCTCTCTTTTCAGCCATTCTTCGTTTTTTATTTTTTTTTCCTCCAGGCGGTTGGTTGCTTGTCGCAACAATTCGGATTGGGATTTGTCTATTTCCAGTTTTGCCATTTGTGCTTTGGGTTTAATTGCTTCTGTGCCGATATAGAATAGAAACTTCAGAAATATATATATAAATATATATATATATATATATTGAGCCATCGATAACTTACCAAATGTTACAGTAAGGAGTTCCTTAAATTGTTTGAAATCTTCTTTATGTGGTCCATTTGGATTTTTTTTTGTTATTACGTCCAAACAAGTTAGTAGGGCTAATTCGTTCGTTATTATACGAGAATATATATGACCCACCGCTTTGTGTAATTCCTGCTTGATTGTTTTGGAATCAAAATTTGGCAAATTGGGTATTGGACAAGCGTCTTTTATAAAGAGTCGCTGCAATAATATAAAAAAAGTTGTCGAGTACCTATAGGTACTCGACAACTTATAAGCAGAGCACAAAATATCAGTTGTTATTATTATAATTATTATTATATACTATATAGGGTATTTACTTTTTAATTTAATAAAAATAATAATAATGTGCAAAACATAAAAAATACAAAACTTACAAAGAATGTGAAGTAACGGCTGTTTGTTCTTAATGTCTCATTTAAAAATTGCAGCCCTTCTTACCGGTGTCGACTATAATAGTCGGCACCGGTAACGGCACCAAAGCTTCCATGTTGAACCGCTCCTATATAAAAATGTTAGGTAAGAATCTAACTTATTTATTGGATTTAAACCATTAATGGTTGTAGGCTTCATGTAGGTAAAGCCAACCCAATCTTTGCGTTGTATAAAATGTTAAGAATCATAGGTGCATAAAGTAACAATTTTATTGAACATTGTAGCACCAATATTAATAATTCCTATAGAAGTAATAATAAGTAAATATTAAAGAATTCCTATTCCTACCTTAAAATCCTTTTTAAAGTGCACAGACACCAAAGATATATCTCTGACACACACTTCCCAAATAATGAAATAAACATTGACACATGAGATACACTTGGTCGGTATTCTCACGCTGACGCTAAAAATGCTCGAATCGTCGAAATTCGAAATTTGACGTCCCTACAAGGTGCCTACAAGGTTTAAGTCATATGTATGTGTGATGCCTAATGTAATATTTGTGCCTACTGCATACACTACGAAAAAGTGCTATATATACACATGGTACTTAGAATTACATATACACTATTTAGTTGTGCCTTGTTGTGTCTACATTCGACGGTCGAATGTAGACACAACAAGGCACAACTAAATAGTGTATATGTAATTCTTAGTACCATGTGTATATATAGCACTTTTTCGTAGTGTATGCAGTAGGCACAAATATTACATTAAGCATCACACATACATATGACTTAAACCTTGTAGGCACCTTGTACGGACGTCAAATTTTATAATTCTAATGATCCATTTTTACGTTATATAAAAATGTTTAGAATCTTAAGTGCATACGGTATACAATTAATAAACATTGTATCACATAATTCTGTTAAAATAAACAATGGTGTATCTCATATGTGTACGTCAGTACTGGATCGACAATTAGATCCACCTTAACATCATCTGTTTTTTACGTGTATATCTTGTAGAGACGTAATCCAAATTGGACGTGCTGTATGGGAGCCTTCTGCAACGTGTGATTTATACTATTTTCTCGATTTTAACTTTTATTTAGGTTTTTTTAATTGTTTTGTGGTCGTTGTTAGTTAGGGGATTTTTCTCGCAAAATGTCAGTTGGCAACACAAAATGACAATATTTGTTATCCTGCACAAGTACAACCTGAACTGCACTTTTACACATTAAACTTAAAATTTTGCATTAAAATGCATTGTTGGAGCAAACTTTATATTACAAAACAATAATAAAGGCTTCATTTTCAATAAAAGTAATGAATTTGAGGTTATTAATCAGTTTGACATTTTGGGGGTACCAATACTTAAAAACTAAATGTTACCAAAAATCGTTTAAGAATGAGCTTCATTCTTCAACGATTTTGCGTGCGAGAATATGACATTCTTACATAAAAATCGAGAAAACCTGTTTCGCGCATACTAAAAATCACTGCAACACTGCACAGAATCTAACGGCGGCCATTTTCATGTTTATACAGATTAAAAATCGTTTTAAACGTTGTGTTTCTTACAGAGGCACTTGTAAGCCTCAAATGAGGCCTTTAAGTGCTAAGAACAACCATTTTAAACCTTATTCTATCAGGGCTGTCATCAAACTATCAAATTTAAATTTGTCGGTTATGGTAAATTAACCTTAAAATTGAAATTTGTCAGTTAAATGACAGCCCTGATAGAATGAGGTTTATTTTTACCAAAAGAGGAGTAAAATGGTTGTTCTTAGCACATTTAGCCTTACAAGCGCCTCTGTAAGAAACACAACGTTTTAAACCTAATCTGTATTAGGGCCACCAATTTTCCCTAAAAAAAGAATGTCTCAAGTTAAAACTAACCTAAAAACTAAAACACTGACAGTGACAATGTCAACCATATTAAGCCGCACATTATAGTTCTCCCACCTCTAATCATTCTGCTAAAACACGCCTGTGATTGGCTACTTTATTTTATTAATAACTAATTAATGGTTCGGCTGATCGAAAAACGGCAAAGACAAGTTTTTGTACCTTTAACATTTCCCGTATAAGAATTTTTAATACTTTGTGATAATATTTTGCAACTATAGTAATAAAAAAAATCAAGGGATTCAATATTTTCTTAGCATAATCATATTTTGAAGTTATTTTAATATTTTAAAGTATCAATAATTGTTAAGTTTAATTAAAATAATAACGGGCAATGTTAATGGTGAAAATTACGTCAAAAATGTTTATTGGGATGGTTTCTTTATTTTCGTATAGATGTCGCTTTAATTGATACATATTTAGCCAAATAGAAAAAAAAAACGGACATTAAATTAAAATTAAATTAAATTAAAATTTTTACTATGTACAATTGAAGGGGTAAGAAGCAAAACTGCTATTTACGGTATTAAAACTGTACTGTACTATACTTTCACCCTTTTAAAATTTAAAATTTGCTTAATTGTTTTCTAAACTATAAAAAAAATTATAAAACAACCTCTTATTTATTTATTTCTTAGACAAAACAAACCAAATTAATTGAGAATAAGTCAAATGTCATACAGTAGATAATTTCTATAAACATTATTCAATAATTAGCTATATTTAATAATTTAGTAATTGTAATGATTTTTTATAACCGAAAAAATAAAATAATAAGATAATTAATTATACAATTGTAAAGCATTACATAGAAAATAGGTCGATTTTAGTAATAAAGACAACAAATCAATATTTCACTTTACCTGTTGGGTCAAATGTACAAATTAAATCTTCAACGGCTTCCGCTAGATCCATGTCACGTCCATAGCTGGGTGTGCCCCACGGTGCTCTTAATGGGCTGTCTCGTCAAGGCGAAAACCTATCGCCATAAGCCTAGCAAAGAAAAAAATAATTTTGTAGACAAAAACTCTTGATAGTTTAGATTTATGATTTAATAAAGATATACCGAGACGCCATGGCGAATTTTTGTCTGGGGCAGAAAAAACTTCTTGAATACAAATTTATTGTTGTTCTGAAATTAATTTTGTAATGGTTTATATTTATCTAGAGCACCATGCCAGTGATAAATTACAGAAAAAGTTACTGTATGAATTTTGCCAATCATTTTTATATGAAGTTTAGGATAACTCATATAACAATAAAGTAACTAAAAAATAACCTATAAACCTTTTTAATGTAAAATGCAATGAGGAAGGAATTTTTTTAATTGAAAAAGTGCCCATGAACTGGCATAGGAAAAAAATTACAATTTGTATCAAAAGTTTTCTACGATTAACTTTCTTTGTTATGGCAATTATGAGAATCATATTAATCGATGAAAATGAAAAAAAAAGGTTGATTGATTACTTTGCAATACATTAAATGAAATCCGCTTTTTTATTTGAGTTTACTGAACTATGGTTCATTATAATACCCCAGAACTTTGTTTCAAATTTCGTCTGTGGAAATCTTTTTTTTATTTTTATGTCCCACAGGAAATTAATAGGTTAAAATTAAATCTATTTGATTTAATAATTGATCATTTTTATTCAACAACTTTTTAATTTAAAATTGAGAATAATTGCCAATACAAAGTTAATAGTAATAAATCGTAAAAAGCTCGTTAACTATACTTAACGAGCTTTTCACTATAGTGATAATCAATAGTTTACAAATCAAACATAATATAAATGCATGCCCAATAACATGCTTTTATTCAAATAGACTATATTTTAAGTCAAATGTAACAAATTTTGTGTAGTAGAATTTTAAATTTAATATTATGCTGGAACTCTACAATTTTGACCATTAAAAATTCAAGGTAAACGATTATCTAACATGAAAATGTCATTAATTTTTAAAGAATTTGAATATAATACTGGAAAAGTTAAAACATAAATTCATTTTTGTCCATTGTCTTTGCAAATATTTTCTATAATTTACATAATTGTTTAATTAAAAGATTTTTTAGCTTTTTTCGTTGGTTTGGCACGCCACTGAATTCCTCTAAAAATAACTGTTTCCCAGACCTATGCTTATAAATATCACAACTTTTGCTCCAGTTCACACATACTTTTGTGTACATACCTACCAAACAAACGTACCTAACGTTTGTATTGTTATTAAGAAATGTTAAAACCTCTTGGAGAAATTTTGAAACCTTTAAATAATTAGTTACATCAACAGGATAAATCGGTTACACAGTTTACTATTTATAGTTGCATCTGTGTCACATTTAAAATATTTATACGATTTGTAATGTTGTCACATATGCTAATTTTTTAATGTATTTACAATTTAATAAGCGCGGGTTCAAAAGTTTAGACGATACCCTTTTAAATAATGTAAATATAATGAAATAATCCGCTATAAATAGCCCAAGTATTTATTAAATTTTTCAAATTTTACGATAAAAATTGCAATGAAATATTTCTAATAGGTAGGTATTTTTAAGATAGGTAGGTACTATATAAGTATATTTAAAATACGAGTATGTTCTCATCAACCGTATTGAAAGAATGAATAAAATTAAGAATTATTTAATATTTTATTGCTTTTCTCAGGGCCATTTTAAAATTATTTTTTCAGATTTTTTATGAATAATTTAAAACAACAATTTTAATATAAAATTTGTATAACCGTTTAAAATTTCCCGCCAAATTATAAAAATGCCTCATATTCAAAAATTTAAAATGGCTTTAGGAAGACTAGGATCCTGACAAAATATGTAGGTATTTAATTTCAATTTCGTAAAATATAATATAGGGCATATAGGCGGAAAAAGCACATATTATCGCCGAGCATACATTTCACTGCCGAGGCGATAGATGAGGCAGTAGATTGTGCGGGGCAATTAATAAGCTTTTGCCGCCTATTTTTTTCAAGTATTCAATTGAATAAGTTCTTAAGATTCTGTCACATCATTTTTAGGTTAGGTTAAACTGAGATGATAAAATTTTAGCCACAATCCACACATGTTGTGTGGATTGTGATTTTAGATTTAATTTTGTACAGAGTTTAATAATAATTTGACATTTGAACTAGTATTAGTATAATATTGTATAGGTAGGTACCTATATTTATATATAAATTTATTTTTTTAAATTTAAATTTAATTAGGTATTGCAATATCATAAAAATCCATTTTACTCTCTATAGAGAGTAAAATGGATTTTTATGATACTATAGTAGGTACAAAAGTATAAAAAATTACAACAAACAAAATTGTAAAAGGTAAATGAATTTTTGTTTAAATAGAATGTAAAATTGTTGGTAAATTTTAGGAATTTTTTTAAAGGGTATACGCTTGTGTCCAAAGTGTCATAGGTAAAATATGTAGTATCATTTTTATATTTTAATACAAATAATTGTTAGTTTAACTGTTGAGTAATGGTTTAACGCTAATTTTGTCTTTTGATCTGAAAATAATACAATCCTATTTGTGTTCTAAATTAAGATGTTTATACGCAAAAAATACATATATAGACAAAATTAGCGTTAAACTGACAGATAGATAACCTTAATTAATTGTATTCAAATGTCAAGATAGGTAAGTTAAAAACCTGCCTTAACCAAGATATTTGTCTTAACTGGCGCATCCTTGCACATTAAAATCATTTAAAACATACTTTTTCTACTCTCACCTTTAAAACGCCCTTTATCGTACATGTTTCCATGACACTAAGTGACCTTTTAAATACACATTTACAAGTTGTGGCTTTATGGCGCTATAGTCACGGGCTGAAGTTAGCAACAGGTTTTTAGTCACGGGCTGAAGTTAGTTGACAGTTGTCAAAGGTCATACAATCGTTAAAATAAAGTGCCTTTCTTGTAAAATAATACTAAATGTGAAAATTATTTTATTATCTCAATACAAAAATATTAAATAGTTTCTCAACGCCAATATTTGAAAAGTTTATATGAACATTGTACTGACCTTTTAATTTCGCCGGCAGTAAACTTAAATTCGGGCACGGACTCTACTGTAAAGTCCTCATAAAACATTTCCTTTACTTTCACTGTGAAAAACTGTCAATTTTCAAGATACATTTTGATTTATAACCTTTATTGTGTATATATATAACCTAATTGTGTTTATAAAATGTAAAAATGTGACATGACAGTTTCCCCTTTTGTTTCATAGATGGCGCTCTATAAAAATTTTTGATTTAAATCATTTTAAGATAATAATAAGTATTTGTCGTAGAAAAAGTATAGTATGCACCTCGTTTATAAACTTTTCTATACACTCATTTACTTAAGCACCCGCTCGCAAGCTCGCTCGTGCCTAAATTAAATTCGTGTATAAAATGGCGTTTATCAAACTTGATACATAATATACCTACTATTATTTAAATTTAAAACGAAATAGGTTTAATTAAGTTACCTACCTAATTTATTGTTATCTTTATGTTTTATCGTATATTTTGGCTGGAAGCTAGCCAACAACTAATAAAATGGTAAAGTAATTTAAAAAAGTATGCAAACATAGTTTTGTGCACGGTTGCACAGAAATAAAACCATAAACGATAAATTTTAATTTAGACATTATTGAACTTTTTTAAAAGGAAAACAAACAAAATACGGAAGTTGAATTTAATTAATGTAAAATATTTGGGTAGGTATTCCGTAAGGCACCGCCGTGGTATTTGTTTACGTTTGTGTTTTAAATTTAGCCAGTTTATTATGTAAAATCACACTTGCATGATGGATCAGGTAGGTGTTTTACCTATATTTAGATACAAAATATCATCTGAAGGATATTTGATTTTTACATTAAAGTTGAGTACATTTTCCAGCTGGTTCTTTATAAATATTTCTTGACCCAATTCAGCGACGAAGTGCATACATAAAAACAAAATTGGCGTATTGTTCGACAATAATAATAATAATGAATTAACAAAGAGGTTTATCGATATCTCCTCGCTTTTCAATAAAACTTGCTTTTGTCAAAGGAGAGACGACAGGTAGCCGCAACATGCCTCTGCCGTTTCAGTTTATTTACCTTACAAGCCGAATCGATATCACTGTCACTCACTGAATGAATAATAACGTTGACACCTGGCGCGCTATCACTGGAAAACAACAAGAACGACGGGTGCTAGATGAACTTATACTTCTGCGGTCGATTGTCACTGGCCCGTTCAACACACTGTGTTGTGTACGCGTTTTTTGTTGCGGTCGCGGGAGTGAGGAAAACGTCCGCCGTCGCACTGTCAGCAACGAATCCCGATCGTCGATACGGCACGCTCACCGTCCCTTTTTCGATCTCCGCTACCGCTGCTCTGCCAGTGCCCAGTGACCCTCAAAATGTTTTCATTCTGTCGGCACAGTTTTCCAAGATGCTTGCTGTCCCTCCATATAAATGGCGCGCCACGGTGGTATCAGAGATATCTCTGGGTGGTATTTGGTAAATTAACCTTAAAATTGAAATTTGACTTTTTCATGACAGCCCTGATAGAATAAGGTTTATTTTTACCAAGAAAGAAGTAAAATGATTGTTCTTAAGAATTTAAGGCCTCATTACAAATGCCTCTGTAAGAAACACAACGTTTGAAACGATTATTAATCTGTATAAACCGCAAAAACCCAAAGCACAAGAAGTGTAAACAACATAAAAATGGCCGCCGTTAGATTCTGTGCAGTGTTGCAGAGATTTTTAGTATGCGAGAAGCTAGATAGAACAGACCTTTATGTGTTGATTTTGGGGGTATATTTAGTACTGCTCCCCCAAATAAAAATCATCTGCTAATTAGCTTTAAAGTTCTCTGAACCTAACCCCCAAACCCCTCTTTTTTTTTTTTTTTTTTTGTTTATTGACTTTTAGTCTTTACGACTATTTAGCCAGCTCATGATTGTATATATTTTTTATGCTCGAAAAACAAGCACAACACCCAAGGCTGTGACCGGGAATCGAACCCGGTACCGTGGCGCAGATTGATTACCGCTCTGTAGCTTTAACGCACTGCGCCATCCTCGGCCCCCAAACCCCTCTTCCAAAGTTCCCAACTTCTGTCAAAACCGGGACATTTTGTGTGAATTTAAATTAATTACAAAAAGACAAAATGCAAATTGTTGATTGTTTCTTTTTTCTAGTCAAAGAACGAAAAAGTAAATTCACATTATGCAACCAAGATTACAACTCCACTATTATGCAACTGGCATAATATTTGAGTTATGGGTTGTGAATAGACGTAGAAACTTTCTACTAGAAAGCATAGGTATAAGTTATACCGTATAACATGTTATTATATCGTTGAGTGAAGAAGTAGGGTTGGGTAGGGTTCACCAGTGTTGCCACCCCTATTACTTTAGTAATAGATCTGTTACTTTTAGCGAAAATATATTACCCTATTACGAAACGATGTAAATCTATTACTTTTTTCTTTCCTACTAGGAATTTTTTTTTAATATTCAATTGAATAGGTGAGAATAAGAACAGTACAAGTCCAAAATTTGACATTTTCATCTGAAATAGCCATTTTGTTTTAAATTCGAAGCAGCAACGAAGAAGTAGAAGAACATTTTTAAAATCGGCTTGTTAAGGTGTTTGTCAGAGCTAACTGTGAAGCATTGAGAATAAGAACAGTACAAGTCCTGGACTTGTACTGTTCTTATTCCCAATAAATGCATTTATGTTGTTGTTAATTATGGACATTATATACCTACTAAAAGTTTAAAGTGGTCAATGACCACTGGTCATGCTCATGAAAGCTGTCAGTTGGTATTTTATTCTGCTTAAGTGTAAAATACAACATGTTATCATCTGATAGTAGCGAAAATGATAGAGACGTAGGAAAAATCCAGAACGATGAAAAATTAATAATAGAAAGTTTTTACGTCAGCGTGGTGAGTTTTATATGTCTACATTCTGGGCCACCATGTAATGAAAAGAAAATAAATGATATAATTTTTTTTTTTAATATAATGAAGTAGATCATGGAGAAGATCTAGAGTTTTACCACCATGTAACATCCTGGCCAAACACTAATACGGATGATGATGCCGGTATACAAAATTGATTATTTAATATTTTTGTTCAATAAAAATGTTTATTTTGTTCAATAAATTCCTTTTTGATCAATAAAAATGCTTTTTGTTAAAAAAAATGCTCTTTATCCATAAAAATGCTTTACCACATCGTGATGTTTTATTTTTTTCAATTCTAAAACAAAATTCTAAAGATTATTATAAGAATTCTGTGTCAAAATTTTATTGAGATTAAGAACAGTACAAGTCCAAGTTTATTTTTTGTGTATAATAAAGCATGCACGTGGTAAAAAAAAAATATTTTTAGTTTAATGGACGTCTAAACTCATACACCACACCTTGTCTGTACTTTTAAACCTAAAAAAATCCTAATAAACAAAATAAACAGTTTATTTTGTTTTCTCAAAATTCAAACATTTGGACATGTACTGTTCTTATTCTCACCGATTCAATTGTAGTCCTATTGTTGCCACTGGCAACTTGCCAGACAGCCCACAAAAGATTATTGTCGCAGCGCATCAAAACTATAATAGTTTTGATGCGCTGCGACAATAATCTTTTGTGGGCTGTCAATAATTGAAGCGTGGTAATTCAAAAGCGTCCAAGTGCCGCTGCCGTGCAAAGCACAAATGTATTGAACAATATTAAGTAATGCATTAGTTACCACCTTTTTGCTTAGCACTGCAGTGGCACTTAGACGCTTTTTAATTACCACGCTTCAATTGTAGAATTAAATTTTTCTTGGTTTTTCCAATATAAGTGTTTTAAATCTTGTTATATATTTTAAATTTATTTAAAAAAAAAATTAAAAATAAAGAGTTAATTAAAATAAACTTATTGTTTATGAGAAATTTAAGATTTTGTTAATATTGGGTAGTTTTATTCCCTTGTGCAATTTGATTTAGATGTGATTTCGTACATTGTACGTACGTATAATTATTAAAAAGGATAATTATTCTTTCTATGGAAAATTATCGTGCGTCTGGCAACACTGCTTGAGTGTTTGACGTTTGTTGTGTGCTTAAATTTTTGTTTATAAAGTTTTTATTAAAATAGCATAAGCATCTTGCACAGATAAAAATTCAATTTTATTCTAATGACAGCAGTAAAACGTCAAAAAATAAAAAAAAATTATTCAAAATAGTCTATTACCTTAAATCCCAAATCTATTACATTTTGACGCATGCGTCTATTACGAAAAAAAAGTTATAGGTGGCAACACTGGGGTTCACACCGTTGAGTGAAGAAGTACACACCTTAATTAATGTGTACCTATATGGTAAAAAGTAATTGGGTTATTTGAACTACTTTTTAATTGACTTAATTATTGATCTTCTTTTAGCCAAAAGGAGCTTAGGTACTTAAAAAATGGGTAAATAATTTTGACTGGTATTAAAATTGATTTTATAACTATAATTTGGTTTGTTTCTTAACAACTTCCCAACATATTACATTTTTTTGCTTTTAAATTACATAGTTGCCGTTTTTATGGCTTTGGACACAATCTTCCAACTTTCTTTAAATTTATTAATCCAAATTTCACAAAATAAAACATAGAATCAATTAATAAAAATATTTATTTATATAATCAAACTACTTGGACCTTAAAATTTACACAAAATGATTTATTTACAATTTTCCGGTGAGTTCGGGTACAGCCTTGAACAAATCGGCTACAAGCCCGTAATCGGCGACTTGGAATATGGGTGCCTCAGGGTCCTTGTTGATGGCCACAATGGTCTTGCTGTCTTTCATTCCAGCCAAGTGCTGGATGGCTCCGGAAATACCGACAGCAATGTATAGATCCTAAAACAGATATTAATTAATACAAACCATCGAGTTAAAAGCATAAAATTTGTTTTTTACGGGTGCTACAATTTTTCCAGTCTGGCCAACTTGAAGGTCGTTCGCTACGTATCCAGCATCCACAGCGGCACGGGAGGCCCCAACGGCGGCCTTCATTTTGTCAGCAAGATCGTACAAAAGCTTGAAGTTATCGCCCGACTTCAGACCACGACCTAAAAATTTATTTTTCTGTGGAATAAGTATTTCCTTTTTTTGAATTACGCGCCACCTTTGATGGCAATATTTCACTGAACGCTAAAGAAGTATCGCTAGTAGCGCCACCACTCGGCTGTTTCCAGTAACAAAAGTAAAACTTTTGATAATCAGCTGTCAAACGGAAAAGCCAGAAAATGTTAAAAAAATATCGAAAAAAAAACCGTGGCACGATTTGTTGTGTTGTGGGGTGTATTTCGAGAGGAAATCCTGAGTTTTTATCGGTTTTCCAATAAACAGTATTAATCCGAATGAAGAAATAAATTTCATACAGTCCCTGTAAATATAAATTGTATCTATTAGATACAATAAATTCACATTTTAGTAATGATTAACGTGAAAAGTGTAAATTTTCAATTCAGTAATAATCGTCACCCATAATATAACAAGTGGTATGATTATCATCGATGATATTTTCGAATTGAAACCGAGCTGCAGATTTCACGAGTCCGCAGGACGAGTGAAATGTGCTGCTTCGGTTTTAATGAGTAAATATCATCGATAATTATATGATTATAATCATACCACGAGTTATATTTAGTGAGAAAATATAATGAATTTTAGGATTTAACGAATTTTTAGTTTGACATTTGAAATTAAAATGTGCTTTAAAATATAAAAAGACTTTAATAAACCTTATTTATTCAAACTTACCTTAATTTCATTATCGTTTACACCAACCCATCGATCTTTTAGAGTTTATAATTCATTATTTTATTGATATATATCAAAAACAGAATTTAAATGACAACAAATGTCAAATCAAAAAAACGTCAAAATTCATAGCAACGTGTAAACAAGATGATAAAAATTATTGCCGCTGTGATAAAATACGTCACTATGGAATACTGGCATTTTATTGGTTCTAATATTAATGAATTGTATTGTCAAACAAATAAGTCGCCTAAATTTAAATAGCATTTAGCATTATTAAAAGCGTTGATTAAGAATTCTTTAAAGTCTCCACAACGGTAAAATACCATTATATTTTGTATTAGGTATATATAATATTATGTTGTTTAAAATGCAGTTGTCGGCGTTTTTTAGAGAACTCAAATATAAAAATGGTTGATTTTAAGGTTATGTTTGTGCACAAATTATTTTTTACTAATTTCTTAAAAATGTCCAAACTTACATATACATTATATTAGGTAAAGTTATCATTAGATAATTCTGCACCAACAAATGTACTTACCGAATTGGATCCTTGTTGGCAAAACATGAAGTTACGTTAGTGTGTGTATTTTATTTAAGTGATCATGGTAAATTATTGTGTTTTTAATTGTAAATAAAATTGAAGAACTAAATCGTTGCATTTTCATGTTTTGCCAAAGGATCCAATTCGGTACGTATAATTGTTGGTGCAGAAATAACTAATGATCACTTTACCTAATATAATTTATATTTAAGTTTGGACATTTTTAAGAAATCTAATGCTGGATTTAGGTATGCAGCACAAATTAACATTAAGTTAACATTAAGAGATGGCCAAATTTTAATTTTAGTTTAATTCTTAATGATAATGTTAATTTTTATTCCTCCTGCGCAGGTTTGCGGCGCAATTTTTAAATAGACCGTGTCAGTAATGCCAACATACCCGAAAATAAAAAGAAACTTACTGCTGAATGATTGATTTTTTATTTAATGATTGTGTTCTTTGGTTTATTGTTTGACGTGGAGTTTATAGTTTTCATTCATTTTACCTAACAGATGCTAAAACTGGATTTAAACAAAATTCAAACAAACCAAAAATGTCATGACATCTGCAGATGTCAAAATTACTTTAACTTATACGCATGCTTAATTAGCCACTAATTTTTCTGCATGAAATACCCACCTTAAATTAGCTTAATGTTAATGTGTGCTGCATAAATCCAGCATAACTAAAAATAATTGTTGTACAAACATAACCTTAAAATCGAATATTTTTATATTTGAGTCAGGACTCTAAAAAAACGCCGACAACTGCATTTTAAACTACAAAATATACCTTCGAATTCATGGAAACATAATATTATATAAAATACATAATATAACACCGGTTCTTGGTATTTTACTGTTGAGTTGAGACTTTCCTAATCAACGCTTTTAATAATGTTAAATGCTGTTTGAATTTAGACGACTTATTTGTTTTATGATTTTTTCTGAATTGAAATAATTACAATTTATATTTACAGGCACTGTATGCAATTTATTTTTTCATTCGAATTTCCAGTTTATTTGGAAACCGGTAAAAACTCAACCACGGTTTTTTTCCGATATTTTTAACATTTTCCGGCTTTATTCTCAAAAACACTCGTTTGTAACATACGCGTTTGACAGCTGCTTATTAAAAGCTGAATTTTGGTGACGATGATAACGGCCACGTGGTGGTGATGCTTCTTTAGCGTATTTCAAAAGTGCTCCAAACAGTAAGACATTCACATTATCCTGAAAATAAAAAGCTTACCTCCAGAAACGACCACTTTAGCACTTGTCAGTTCGGGTCTGTCGGACTTGCTCAACTCCTGACCGACAAACACAGTCATGTCTTGCGCGCAACCGTCGGCTGGCATGGTTTCGGTTGCAGCCGATCCGCCAGTCATGCTGTCAGCTTCGAAGCTGGTGCCTCTCACTGCCACCACTTTGACGGGATCTTTGGCTGTCAAAGTTTGGATCGCGTTACCGGCGTAGATGCTCCTCACGAACGTGTCGGCCGACTTGATGCCGATAACATCGGACACTGGAGACACGTCCAGTTTGGCCGCAACCCTGGGTAGCAGAGCTTTTCCGAAAGCAGACGCGCCAGCTACGATGTGCGTGTAGTTGTTCTTTTTTTGCGCAGCCACTATGAGCGGGGTCAGGCTTTCAGCTGTGAAGCCTTTGAAAGCTTCATTTTCAGCCACAATCACCTTGGTGACGCCACTGGCCTTGGCAACAGCTTCAGATGCCTAAAAAACAATTGGCAAAAGAATCCTTTTTTTATTAAAATATTAATTTACGTTATAAATAACGCAATTACTACAACATTTTATGCATTATTGTCAAACTCATTCTGTATTAATTATTTAAAGATTATTCAAATTTGAAAATCTCTGCTTTCGCGGTCAAGCAATACGCTAAAGAAGTATCGGGTTTTCGCAACGCGCGCGCCATCTGGTGGACTTCAATTCATTTAAAGCACAGATTATACATCATTTTTAAATAAATAGGTAGTTTTTTCACAGAAGAGAGGAAGACAAATTTTGTTCAATTGCACAGCTAAATCGCGCACGTTATTTGTGTTTTACGTTGCAAGAAAAAAATTAAAAAACTTTTTTAGTACTCGATTTCGATTGATTATTCCTTATATCATTGATTAAGAAACTCAACGCTTAAATGCTTATTTAGTTACGTTAGTGTGGGTATTTTATCTAAGGGATCATGGTGAATTATTGTGTTTTTAATTTTTAAATAAAATTTAAGAACTAAATCGTTGCATTTTCATGTTTTGCCAAAGGGTCCAATTCGGTAAGTACATTTGTTGGTGCAGAATTAACTTTGATAACTTTACCTAATATAATTTATATTTAAGTTTGGACATTTTTAAGAAATTAGTAAAAAATTATTTTTGCACAAACATAACCTTAAAATCAACCATTGTTATATTCGAGTTCTCTAAAAAACGCCGACAACTGCATTTTAAACAACACAATATACCTATGAACTCATGACAACATAATATTATATATAATACATAATAAAATGCTATTTTACCGTTGAGTAAAGACTTTCTTAATCAACTCTTCTAATAATGCTAAATGCTGTTTAAATTTAGACGACTTAATTTGTTTGACGATTTTTACTGCATTGAAATGTTTACACTTTTCACGTAAATCACTACTAAAATGTGTATTTATTGTATCTAATAGGTACAATTTATATTTAGAGAGACTGTATGCAATTTATTTCTTCATTCAGATTAACACTGTTTATTGGAAAACCGGTAAAAACTCAACCCAGGATTTCCTCTCGAAATACACCCAACAACACAACAAATCGAGCCACGGTTTTTTCCGATATTTTTTAACATTTTCCAGCTTTATTCTCAAAAACAGTTTTATACTTTTGTTACGATGATAACAGCCGAGTGGTGGCGCCATAGATAAAAGACTTGGTGGCGCTACTAGCGATACTTCTTTAGCGTATTATGACGTTTTCAGATTTAAAGCAATGTTGCCAGATGTAGAAGCTCTTTAGAAAAAATTGATGTGTACGTAAAAATATTTAATTTAAATATTATACAGGGTGAATCAAACTATTAGAAATATAACTTGAGTTCCATCAATAAACACAATAACAGTTTAGAGCAGTTTGTCAAATTTAACACTATAAACATGTTAATGAACGGGAATATTGGTTTGTATAATTGTGAAACTGGTCATAAAACTTGTTTTTTTTAAACCATTTGTAAAAATGTGCAAACCCCCAATCTATAAGCTACATAACCTTATTTTAGTGGTGATCGAGACTTACTGGTCCACATTTGGTTCCAGCTACAAGCACTGAAATTTCTCCGCCCAATTTTTTGGCAGCAGCAATTGCGTGTTGGGTGATTGGAGATAGTGCTTTATTATCATGTTCGGCAATAACTAGGGTACTTTGCAACCTTTTGGCCTGGTTGCTGAACTAAAATATTATTAATACATAATATTATTAATATATTGTCCAAAAAAATCTTGAATGGTTTACCTGGGCCCCAAATTGACGAGACGTCTTGGAAAACATCTTCATTAAACGTTAAATTAACCAAAACTAAAATAAAATATTAACCAACTACAGTATGATCAAAGTGCAAAGATTGCTAAATAATAAACATCTCGATAACCGATAGGCCGAAATAATGCTGCTGTGTAATGTGCGTTGCATACGATACAAAATATTACAGCGCTACCTTTCGTCAAGTTTATGTACCTAAATGTGCCACAGGGATCAATACTGGGACCCTGGGATCGCTGGATAAATGTCACGCGAAAAATTAATTTTTCTACGACCACTATGTAAAAGTCACATTTCGTAATGGCATCGTTGCTTAGAAAATGAATCTTTTCATTGGCAAGGAAAAACTCGAATGTAAAGTGACATTTCTGTGTAAAAAATGACAGGTCTGTTTGAAAAGTGGCAGGTCTGTGTGAAAATGAATTGACAGCATCGTAATTTTAACAGCTGTCAAACACGTGTTTAGGTTATTTTGTTTTGTATTTGAAAATAATAAAAAATATATGGGTCACAGAAAAAACATTGTATTTCACTTGTGATAAAAGCTTCCTTCAAGCTCGTGTTAATGCACTTAAAGGTCGCTTTTTAACAGTTGTACAACAAATAAATATTTTATTTTTGACAGGCCTGAAGTAAAATAGTTTACAAATAATGGAAACAAACCCTATTGGTGTTTTTCATGTAAAAAAATCAAATCTTCATAACCTTGTTGCAAAAATATACTTTTTCAATAATAAATTGTCAAAAAAAAATAACTCAAAACTTTTACTAAATTTTTGTTGATTTTAATAAAAATGATTTTGCGAGTTCTAGTGACAAATAAATTTTCCCAGACTTAAGTATACTCAAAATAACCTATTGCATTATAAAAGTTACTGGGTACCTAAATAATGTACTAACTTTAAACTCCAGGTAAGTACTTAATCAAGTAATTTTCAAAAACCTCTTATCAGGCCACTTATACCGGCAAAAATCCATTTACCCCTTATTTACACCAATTGTTAAAGGATTAAAGATTAAAAAAAAACTTATACAATACTTTAAATATGTTTATTCAAATACACTTTTAAAATTGTAACGCAACTTGGGTTACAGATAAAACACATTGAAATATAAATATAGAAATTATAGAAAAATTGTGCTATAATTTTGACTTGAGATCACATGACAAAAAAATGAACTAAGAAATAATAATTCAATTGAATTGAAAAAATGTTCGCCTAAAATAAATGCGAAGTTAATACAAGATCCCGAGTCATTTTGTGTTCTCCACTAAAATAGTTATTCCTAGACATACGCAATTATTGGACAGCTACAAAATGACTTTGGTCTATTCATACAATATCACAAAGTTATATAATATATAAAACAAAAATATTATAAACCTTTCATCACTGATTATGTTTTATACAAACCACTTACAATAATTATTATACCTTCAATTTAAACTACCATTCTCATCGAGTAGGTAAAAAAAGTCTCTACTTAATCGACGGGAAGAGATGGAATCGTCACTAAGTCTCATGATTGCCTTAGTTCAGTCGCCAAACGAAAAATATCGCTTAAATTTCAAACAGGAGACTCAACTTTGGAATAAATTTGGTTACGCTTTGGCGAACTTGATCCCCGCAAAAAAAGGCAACCACTTAGTTATTTAGGTAAAAAAAATGTCAGTGCTTCAGTACTCTTCATTACAAACGTAACTGGTTACGGTTATATAAAATGCGATAAAATGGTTAATGGAAAGTTTTCGATGTATATATGATTTTTGACACTAATCTATATTATTAAGCAACTAGCGGGGCTCATAATATATAAAAATTTCACAAAAAATCATTATAAACACAATTGTGTTCTGTGTTCACAATAATTTTGTCCAGGCTGCCCCCCACAAATTCCAAACATTGGCACCTACCTAAATACTGAACAAAACCGTTTAATGTGAAATGGTTAAAAATGGAGGGCGATGAAGTAAAAAAATAAATAAAAAATCATCAATGTCAAATGTCTGTTTGATGGAAGTCCCTTAACTATCTATTTTATTTACAAAAACTGTGCGGCGCACACACCAAAAAAACATTCATTTCGCACCAATTTCCAATGCATTCAATATTTTTAAATCGGATATGTTTTTCTACGCGTTATTTGCTATTACTTTTGACTAGAACTATTTATCTAGCGGTTTTGTTCTGCCTCCGTCCGAAATGCATATTTTTGAGCGCGGGCCGCCAAATAGGAATCACTAAAACATTTCGATTATTCAATAATATAACTTATATAATATTAAAATAAATACTATGTTAAAAACTTATAAAAAAGTGCTCTATATTTCACGACATCTATAGGTATAGCGTTACATTAAAACTCGGCCAATAGTTACTATCAACAAAAAACCGACTTTCGACCAACAACTTGAGCTAATAAATAAATAAAAGTAATAAAAGTGGAAAGTGTTGAAAGTCGGCCCATTACACAACCACACCAGCAAAATTGTCTACACAATAATCCGATTTTTATATTGAAAATTATTTTGTCAAACAACTCCGCCTTTAATATAAAAACGTTTGATTCGCAGAAAAAAACTCGCCGCATTATAGGAAACATTAAATAACAACAAACTTGGATAAATTATTTATAAACTGATGTTACGTTATTGAGAGCGGTTTTATCGCGGTAAAAGTTTTACTATTATTTCACTAGCGTTAATTGTCGCACGAGGAGTGTAAAAATTATACAAAAAACATTTCAACGTCAATTTTTCCACAGCGAACGCAGCGAGGCGCCGATTAATATAATAAATACAATTATTGTTCCATTTTGTTGGTGATATAGTAAATTACCTTCGATTCAGTTCCGTTTTGATTGCTGAAACAAAATATAAGAAGTATTTTATTTTTTCAACCTTTACTTGATACTCCATGTCACTAATGTATAACGCCACATAACACAATATGTTTTAAAAATGTTTTGAGAACAAAATTTATAAATGAAAGGTTGAGGAAATGTTGTATGAACATTCAGGGAAAAAATTTTTATAACTGTGATGCGTAAATATTGCTGAAACATTCATAAATATCACGTAAATATTTTTCAATATTTATTTCGCAATTTTATGTAAATACTATTTCCTAAATATTGTTTAAGTTATTTAAAAATATTTATAAACTTTTTTAAAAGTTCATCAAGTTTTCTGAGGCTCGACAGTATATATTTTGAAAATATTTCCAGATATTTTTGTGATGTTGAGGAAACATTAATAAAATATAAGGTAATTGGGTTTTAAAATTTCGGGAAAAAAGCGGAAAAATTGGGGGGAAAACGGGTTTTTCCGTTTTTTCCCAGGTTTTGGAAAAATTGTCTTTTTTGGAAAAAAATATTTTTTTTAGGAAAATTTAAACATTTGAAAAAAAGTAGCTATAAACAACCTAACATTATTTTAATTTAAAAAATTCCTTTATTACAGAAAAAAAATAAAACTACATATTGAATTAAATGAAATTGATTTAGGAAGTAAACTGAAACGTTAAATATACTGTCGGTTGGGCCTTTTTGCAAAAAAGAGTCCATTTAAAATATCCAATTACAAAATAATCAATGATTAAAGTTATATTACGAAATTATAATTTTATAAATCAAAATATCAAATAAAACGAAAATAATGTGATGTATTCACCGAATATGTTTTTTTGCGGCCCGGTAGAATTTTCTACTTACTGAATTAAAATGAAAGGAATAATTGAATCGGTGAGATCAAGAACAGTACAAGACCAAAATTTAAATTGTTTACAAGTTATTTTATAAAATAATTTTTTTAGTTTAAAATGCGTTTTTTGAGAATATTTTAACTATTTTATGAAATATAATAACCATATTTTGTACAATAGTTGAAACATTCTCACAAAAATTCATTTTAAACTATAAAAATAATTTTATAAAATAATTTGTCAAAATTTTAAATCTTGGACTTGTACTGTTGAACTCATCCGTAAAATTTGTAAATTTTCTTTTGCATTTTGTTCGTATTACCCTTTGAAAAAAATGCAAAAGTGCCATTTTTCTGAACATTTTCCAATTTTTCCAATTTTTCCTTTTTTTCGCCAGCTCAATTTTTCCAGAAATTTTAAAACCCTAAAGGTATCTCAGCATTTACAAAAAAATTTAATTTTTTTTGTATAATTTTATAAAATACCTAATTTGTCAAAATTTTAAATTTTGGACTTGTACTGTTCTTGAACTCACCAATTCAATTATTATAATTAAAATATGATTCTAATCAGCGTCGGAAATTCACTTTTTTCTCGATATCAGTGTACGGATATCATCCGTAAAATTTGGAAATTTTCTTTTGCATTTTTTTCGTATTAATCTTTGAAAAAAATGCAAAATTCAACTTTTCTCAAAATTGTCCAATTTTTCCGTTTTTTTCCGAAATAAAACGGTTTTTTTTCGACGCCTCAATTTTTCCAGAAATTCTGAAACCCTAAAGGTAATGTATCTCAAACATTTACAAAAATGTTCTAAAAAATATTGTATAAATATAAAAATGGGATATTTTACTATTTTATAAAATATAATGACCATATTTTGTACAATAGTTGAAACATTCTCACAAAAATGCATTTTAAACTATAAAAATAAATTTATAAAATAATTTGTTCAAATTTTGGACTTGTACTGTTCTTGAACTCACTGATTCAATTATTATAATCATAAAATTATGATATTAATCAGCGTCGGAAATTCACTTTTTTCTCGATATCAGTGTACGGATATCATCCGTAAAATTTGGAAATTTTCTTTTGCATTTTGTTCGTATTACCATTTGAAAAAAATAAAAAAGTAAATTTTTCTGAAAATTGTCCATTTTTTCCTTTTTTCCGGAAAAAAAACGGTTTTTTGTCGCCTCAATTTTTCCAGAAATTTTAAAACCCTTAATGTGTCTAAAACATTTACAATAATGTTTTAAAAATATCGTAAAACAATATTGTATAATTATAAAAAATGGGACATTTTACTATTTTATAAAATATAATGACCATATTTTGTACGATAGTAGAAACATTCTCACAAAAATGCATTTTAAACTATAAAAATAATTTTATAAAATAATTTGTCAAAATTTTAAATCTTGGACTTGTACTGTTCTTGAACTCACTGATTTAATTATTATAATTATAAAATTATGATTCTAATCAGCGTCGGAAATTCACTTTTTTCTTGATATCAGTGTACGGATATCATCCGTAAAATTTGAAAATTTTCTTTTGCATTTTGTTCGTATTACCCTTTGAAAAAATAAGAGTCAATTTTTCTGAAAATTGTCCAATTTTTGCCGCCTCAATTTTTTCAGAAATTTTAAAACCTTCAATGTGTGTGTCTAAAACATTTACAAAAATGTTTTAAAAATGTGAAAAAATATTGTATAAATATAAAGTGAGACATATAAATGTTGTAAAAACATTTTAAATGATGATGACTAATATTTCTAAAATATTTAGTTCATTTAGCAATGTTTAATCAATATTTTAAATATATTTTTGTGTTATGTGGGACTAGATAAAAAACGAACACTGTTTTTTTAGTTTCTGAAGAAGCTACTGTGGTAGCGAAACAATTGTCAAAATGAAATTAAAATAAATTCGTGAAACTCAAAAAACAGGGTTTGTTTTTATCCAGTAATACGTTAGTGACCTATAAGGAGGTTTTCATCTGGAATAATCCGACTGAAAGGTGAAAGTCTTACCGTCTAAAATGTCCTGTTTAAGTTTGGCGATCTCCTTCTTCACCTCCTTGACGATCTCGTTTTTGAGGGTGTCGATTTCGGCGGGGCCGAGCGACAAATTGGCGCCCACCTCGCACGACAGTCCGTTCACCTTCAGGATCGTCTCCTCCGAAGCGGACCCGAACCGTTTCCGGACGCTCTTCGGGGAATCCCCGCCGCCGAACTTGGACATGGCGTTTGCGGGCAGCGTGTTCGTCTTCTCCCACATCGCTTTCTTCTCCTCGTCCTCCTTGTCCACCACCACCTTTTTGTCCACCTGAAAGTATGATGTTCAGTTCACATTTCGTTTATTTTAAAGGCTTTAAATGTTCTCACGACTGCTCTCCTCCTGGCCAGTGTTTTGGCCATCTCGTCCATCATGGAGGCCATGCTACCGCCCCCGCCCCTACCAAGGGTGCCGTAGTTACTGCCCCCGCTACTCGTCGACGAGCCACTGTTTTCCGTTGGTGGTGGTGTATTCTAAAAAATAACACCTCAATAATTAATTTTCATTTCACTTTTTAATCGTAAATGTTTTAAATGTGAAAGAAAATAAAAGTAGGTTTTTTAAAATTATGAAATACATAATTTTTTAATTAAATAAAATTATGTCAAGAATAAATTGAATTTAAATTTAATTTAATTATAAGGACCTTTGTGGTTTTTCAATCAGACGGACCATTAATTAGTTTCTTATTTCTTATAAGATTAAAAAGTGAAACAGCTTGCCATAATTTTAGCTTTAGTTTAACAATAATTTGAAATCTTTCTATGTGAACTTACGAGCCTTATAATATACAATTATTGTACGCTTAAAAAAAATTCTGTTTTCGCGGTCAAGCACCTATTTTTGGAGGAATTTGATATTCAATAAATTATATAGAAAAAAGTATCCTTTTAGTGTATAATACTTCTATAGGTATTTTATTTTAATTTTAATGCTACAAGGTCAGTTAAATTAGAGAAAAGTTGTGTAAACTATTTGAATATTCAAATTATAAAAAAAATTCCATTTAATTTATTTGCTTCTAAATTTTGAGTTACCATCAGCATCATTTTTTTATAATGGCCGCCATAATTTATGTACTTTGATACATTGTTGGATTGCTTGATTTTTTTTTCATTTAACCATATCCAATATGGCCGCCACAGCAAAAACAAAAGAATAACGAAGTTATAACGATTTTTTGTTTTGACAGGTTTTCAGTTTTTTTCAAATTATTTGAAAACAGCCGATAATTTTTAAATGCCATTTTAATAGAATTGTAATTACGCAACTTTGTTGTTTTTGCAGATCTTTCAATAAAAAAGATACCCATACATAGAAGCATAAAGTAAACCTTCACTAATATCCATGTTAAATTTGCTCAAAAATAACAACCTGTTCAAGTGTAAATTTACAAATTGTCATTAAAACTAAATATACAGCTGATGTCACACGGTATGTGTTTCCGGAGCCGGGACTTTTTTATTTTTAATAATAATTAATTTTCTAGGTACCAAGTACCAAACACACAAGTTGTGGCTTTATGGCGCTTTAATCACCGGCTGAAGTTAGCAACAGGTTTTACACAGGCTGGTTAGTTTTAAGTTAGTTGACATTTGTCAAATTTCATACAATCGTTAAAATAAAGTGCCTTTCTCGTAAAATAATACCAAATGTGAAAATTATTTTATTATCTCAACACAAAAGTATTAAATAGTTTCTTGACGCCAATATTTGAAAAGATCATATGAAAGTTTGATTTTGATTATGCGTAGTAGTTAACTAGATTTAACTGATAAAGCGTTAAAAGTTTTGCGTACAGTGCCCATAAAACATTCTCTTCTCTTATTACTTTGAAAAACTGCTTCTATATCGATTGTTAGTCTATTTTTCAAGGGATAAATTTTGATTTACACAGAAAAATTTGAGATTTTAACGCTGATAGATTCCAAAGTTAGAAATTCAAACGGGAATTCCAATAAATACAACTGTCACTTTTTGTACCTTTAATATTTCCCGTGTAAGAATTTTTAATAGTTGATAATATTATGCAATTAATAAAGTAATAAAAAAGTAATAATATAAGTTATTTTTAAGCATCAATAATTGTTATGAATTAAAATTAATAACGGGCAATGTTAATGGTGAAAATTTCGTCAAAAATGTTTATTGGGATGGTTACTTTATTTTCGTATAGATGTCGCTTTATACAAATATTAAATTTAAATAATTTTTTAGATAATATTAAGTATTTGTCGTAGAAAAAGTATAGTTTATAGTTTATCAAACTTGATATATAATTCTACTATTTTACGTTTTTTAAAATGATCCTTTTTTAGATAATATTAAGTATTTGTCGTAGAAAAAGTCGTAGAAAAAGTATAGTTTATAGTTTATCAAACTTGATATATAATTCTACTATTTTACGTTTTTTAAAATGATCCTATAGGGTTATTTTTCAAACTTAATTTATTTACGTAATTTCCTTACCTTGCTGTTTCGTTTGAGCCTTGCACCCTGCAGCTGCGCAGCCAGCGAATTAATCTCGCCGCCGTCGCTGCTCTGACTTCTCGTCATGTTCATCGGCGGTGGCGGCGGCGGAGGCGGCCCGCCGCCGGCTCCGGGGGCGCCCGACGCCGGCGGCGCCGTCGGCGGTCCGCCGAGGGGCGGAGGTGGCGGCGCGGGCGGGGCGCTCGAGTTCCTCTGGTGGCCGTTGGCCGCCTGCTGCTGCATCTGCGGCGGCGAGGCGGGACTGGGCGCCGGCTGCCCGCCGCCCAACGGCATGGCGGGCGGGGCGGGCGCTTGACTTTGCACCTGGCTTTGCGGCGTCATCGGAGACGTCTGCTGCTGCTGCTGCTGCTGCTGCTGCGGCGAAAGGATAGACGCCGACGTTCTGCGTTCCTACAAACGACAAAAGTTTGCTTTTTAATACTACCTACAAAAGCTACAAAATACGACGTTTTATTCAAGAGCTACTAAAACGAAAATACACATTCTTTAATAATTTTAAATGTACCATATATTAATACACGTCATCAATGCGATATAATGACGTCAGCTTGCCGCCCCTTAAAGGAAAAAAAATCTTAAAAACACTATTTTAACTTATCCTTATAAAATTATTATGTATGTATTAGTGGTTTTTCGGGATCTGCTCCGTGTTGCCGGTTTTTGGTTCTTAAAAGAACCGTATGTCTGACGACGTTTCGGTACAATCTCATGTACCATCTTCAGGTCTTATCTGCTGGGCTGCTTAGCTAAAAATTTTTACTTAGCTAAAAATTTAACAACCGATATAATTCTTTCTAAAACAGAACACCATCTTTTCTGTTCACTGTTAATTAGTTTTTCCTGTAAATAATCTATTATTGAGCCACACTTTAATGAAGTTTGTAATTGAATCATTTTCTTGCAACATTTAATATGATCATTAGAACTTTCATGTCGGCTTAAGGTTCGCGATAAGTGTTGCCAATCTCGAAATCCATCTAGCCCCAAAGAACTAGATGCATTCCCAAATAACTTACATGGGAAACAAAACACAGTTTATTTTTTAGAATATCCAAATGCGTTGAACGGATTCACCATTTAAAAGTTTTTAAAAAATATTTATTTTAATAACTTCTAGCTAGTGCTAGCGTCTTTGAGATAAGTTGTTTTCTTATTTAGTAGGTTACCCTTTTCTACTAGCATTAACCTTATTTTGTCAGATAAAGGTGTAGACCATCAATTACAATATTAAAAAGTTTACCGTAACTTTCTGTACAAATATTTTCTAAAATGCCGCCCCTCGATAGTTGCCGCCCGGGCGCAGTGCACCCTTTGCACCCTGGGTTGGCTCGGCCCTGAGCATTACCAACTTTGAATTGTAAAGTTATGTTTTTTTATGAAATTATCAAATTAAACATTTACTTAGTAACTTTTGTGTGCGTCAGTTGCTAATAGCTTAAGGCTGGTGCGCACCGTTCAATATTATTGATGGGTCAGCGTCATTTTATATTTGACGTTTTTTTTTGTAATTTTGACATTTCGTCCGTAAGCATCGTTTGTTGCAGATTGTTATAAATAATTTTTAACATTGTGTTTATCATTTTCTACCACTGGATTGTGCAAACAATGTTACAAGGCTTGTTGGCAACGCCAACAGTTATTAGATTGCGACAGTGTTGTCAACCCTACCGAATTTTCGGTAGATCTACCGATTTCTGAAAAATTCTACCGATCTACCGATAGGCATCAATATTCTACCGAAAATCTAAATCTTGCAATAATTCAAATAAATAACTTTTTTTAGATTACATTGCTTAAAAATATTATACTTAGACAACAGTATAATATCTTTTTACTAGTATGCGATTAAAAACGATTTTACCAACATCATTTGTAAAAAACTCGCACTACGACGGTATCACAAATTTCCATGATACCACAAACCGAGGGGTCAACCACTGATTTCTTTAAATAAAAAATCGCTTACGAATTAACGGTTAAGAATAACATTAACAAGGGTAGTCATGCGCAACGCGTCGCTAAGCACTGATTAAGCACCGATTAAGCAAGTTTTCCTTATTGATAATGACTGATAAGGAAAAAAATCTCAACACAACATCCACTAACATTGAACGTTGGTCTCTAAGATTTTATAGTGGTTTACCCCTCGCCACAACAGATTTCTATTCTTGCTTTTTGCTGTGTAGATTGGTAAAGTACAACACATTCAACTTTGTAAGCGGCGTTTGTTCTCTTGATTTATGTAAGTATATTATTAATTTTTTTGTGGTTGTATTTTTTATAATTTTATTATTTTTTGTTACATTTCTTTTTATAAATATTCAACTTATGTTAACAAATGTTAACATAAGTTAAATATGTTATTGTTTTTATTAGATTTTTTATTTTTAATAAATATTTTTCTATTACCTGTGTTTTTTTAACTAAAAATTACACATATATTTAAATCTACCGAAATTTTATCATCATCTACCGAAAATTTACAAAGATCTATCGATAAAATGTTCGAAGAGGTTGGCAACACTGGTGATGTGGTGGATGGCAGTTTATGTTGCAGTGTGTGCAGTGTGAGTGTTTTTGTTTTGATTCATTTTAAATTATTTAAAACTTTTGTCTGATATTTTTTAATTTTTGTTAAATATTTCTGTTCTTTTTAAATGAATCCTGTTCTTAATAATTGAAACCCCTTTATTAAGAAGAAACGAAACTGAAAAAATATATTTGACAATATTTCTGTTCTTTTTAAATGAATCCTGTTCTTAATAATTGAAACCCCTTTATTAAGAAGAAACGAAACTAAAAAAATATATTCGACAATTGTCTAACGCCAAAATTTGTATCAATACGTATTTAACGATAACGATGCAGGATAAGTAATATTTAAGAACTTTTCAAATTGGTACAAAACCTATGCAACGCGTCTCAGAATAAGACCTCCCGGGTGACGTGGAAATTTATTAGTATTTAAACAAAATTAACCTCATGTAGCCTCACCCTCCTATACCTACACCCACGAGCCGCCACTATGACCTCTTCCATTATACTTAATAATCAAGTTTTTAATGAAATAAAATCTTTTCAGCCAAAATTCCACAAATTAACACAATTATTTTTTATCTGATTTTAATTTAATTTACAGTGTTTGTAGCTTACTTTATTTTCTTAAAACCTTAATGCAATGAAATAAAAAATGTCAAAGTAACACTTAGATTAACCAAGCAATTTTGAAATTGACGAATTTTGGCTAAAAAATCTATTATTTTTGCCAAAAATATTACTTTCAAATGAAATACTTTGTTAAAGTTTTGTAAACATTTTTGATTAAAAAAATGTATAGGTATTCAAATTTAAATATTTTTGTTATTATTGATATATGTAAATTTAAATATAATAATATAATTTAAAATATTGTTTTAATCTTTTTACACCAATAAACTAGGTATCTTAAAATATAAAAATACATTCAAATGAAAAACCTTACTACTTAATAACCTATGGCTTATGGTTACATAAAAAATAGGCATATAAGAAATACTATTAAATATAGATACCTATTTTACTAAAAAAAGAAATGACAGGGTTAATAACTGAATTCACCAATACCTAACACTTGTAACTATTTTATGGTAACTTACTGAGTTGTTTTGTCGTATATTATTAAATTTACTATATACTTTTTTTAGGGTTCTAATCTGAAATCTTAAAGGCAAAAAAGCGATATCACAACAGAAGGAAAATATTTTTGAAACGCTTATAAACATCTTGTAATTATAGCAACACCTATGTAACTGAAACTAACCGAATTTTTATTGAACACCCCAACTTGAAGTTATTGCGTAAACTATGAAAAAAAACCTGTATAACAATGGCGGAGTCCAATGGACAAGGTCTCTTTAAACTAGCATAATTATAATAACATCGTAGTTTAATTATGTTTGCATGAGACCAATATTTGGTTTAAAATAAACAAAAAGGGTTTCAGATAATACTTTTCCACCTTTAAGAAGTCACTTCTTGGATTTTTAGGTAAAAAAAATGATCTAGTTCCATTTAAAGTATGAATTATTCAAAGAACAAAAATTTAAAATTTTAATTAAAAATATATTTGTATTAAGTTGTCAAGCTTCAATAAAAAGTCATATCTCAAAAATTTTCATGTACATTTTTTGAAATTTGCCATTTAATTGAGAATGATAACTAATATACAAGCTGTCCCTGAAATGCTTGTATAAAATGATACTAAATATTCCCAAGATCGAAATAATGAACATTTTGTACAGGCATTTCAGGGACACATTGTATATTAGTGTGTTAATTTTGTACGCCCTTCTTTCAAGCAGAAACGGATTGAGGTATTTTTCTTCAATAGATATGCAATAGATTTTCTGCATAGTGCCAGGTAAAAAATGATTGCAATAAAAATTTAAAAACGTCAATTTAATAAAAATATTTTACTATTAATACCCAAGTAGCACAACTGGTTAAATAACTAGAATTTTAAGTAAATTAACCAAAATCTAAGTAAAATAACGTTTTTTTAAACTTGTGTTTTAACCAATTAGTTTTATTCATTTTAACTGGTTGCTATAACCTTAAGGTAAATTCAAGAAACCTATTGGTAATATTACTAACTAGTTAAATATTCGATTTATTTATAGATAAATTAAGGTTATTTTAAAATTGACTATAAATAAACCAAATATTTAACTAGTTAGTAATATTACTTAAGTTAGGTTAAAAATTAGTATCAGTACAGATGCAGGGCTGCAACTAAAATCAGAACGTAAGATCGGCGAGAATGTTTTTTAGGTTAGTTTTATAAAGATTGGTATTGGATTTTTATCCAAAATTTTATAAAGATTGGTAAAGGCGTTTTAGAGTTGGATTTTTTTTACATGTTATGCGTTAATATTGACGCGCAGTGTATAATGTGTTACATTAATCGAATTTAAACCAACACCAAAGAGTTACAAATTTCCGATAGGTAAATAAAGTAGTTAAATTAAACACAATTAAAAATTGTTTGCTGTCCATTCTAATATAAGGAAATACGATTAATTTTAATAATTTGTTTAATTCCAAAAATAAGGTAATTTTAACAAACCAATGATAAAACATACTATTATTTTTATGTTTAAAAGGATTTTAAATCAATTTTAAACGAAATAAACAAAAAATAGGGTAAACAAATATTTTTTTATTTTTTATTTGTTTATTTTTATTTCAAATGAATTAACCAGTCATCAGGTAAATTAAACCAGTTGTGCTATTTGGGTGTACCTTTAAATTTCATTAAAATCAGATAAAAAATGTTAAACCCAACCCAATTGAGCACCAAAAGCTAAATACTTTAACGCTGTAACAGGTCAGCCATTCCACGCTACTCGGGAATTTTTTTAGCGTCCGTTACAATAAAAAATTGTGAGTAAAACAACCGTAATTATTATGCTTATAAGTTTAAGCCTAATTATTACAAGCATAATAAACATGTTTGCAATATTAACTATTTTAACAGTATTTAATTTAATTACGGTAGCTTTTAATCACAATTTTTTATTGTAACGGGCGCTACAAAAATTCCCGAGTAGCGTGGAATGGCTGAGGTTTAATCAGTGCTATTTAAATTAAATTTTCAGGGTGTAGCATCAAAAACATCCCCAATCGTATGACGACTTTTTCATTATAAAAAACACCACAAAAAATCCAATCTGATTTTTTGATATGTTAAATGGCAGCTTTAGCTTGACAACTGAAAGAAAATGTTGAAGAAAAACCACAACAACTACTTGTAATAGTAAAACTTGTATTTACATTATCTTTTACCTGGATCATGGCCACATCTTCTCTCGTCATGGTTCTGTATCCCATGTCTTCGTCGAAATGGTTGTGGGGCGGCACCTGCGGCGGCATTTGGGGCATCATTTGCGGGGGCGGGTGTTGCTGCTGCTGCTGCCCAGGCGGCACCATCTGGTGATTGGGCGCCATTTGCTGCTGCATGGGTTGCGGCATGCCAGGCGCGTAGCCCACGGGCTGCGGTTGCCTGACTATGTTGCTAAGTACCTTTAAACATTTATAACATTGCTTAGGGCCGGTTCATCAATGTCCAGTTAGGTGTGTAACTGGTAAATAAAATTAAAGTGGTAGCTAACCTGTTTATCAATTTACTAAGAACTTAAATTAACTGGAAGTAAATTTAACTGCAAGTTAATTAACTAGCAGTTATCGCGGTTTATAGGTTATATTTGTGTTTGTTTATTAGTGTTGTTTTTGAAATGAATATTGGAGATTTTTTTGAAAGTAACGACGATGAACAAATTTTTGAGTTTGTGCAGCACAAGAGAATACTTATACAGTTTTAGAACGGGAAGAAAATTTTCAAGATTAAGACGATTTTTTTATATATCCGCTGCAGAAGCTAATATAGAGGAGGAAATACATATTTTTTTGGTAAAGTTATTTTAAAAATGCGATATTTTTAAATTAATGTGTGTAACAAAAAATAAAAGATAATAAATTGTATAATAGTATATTATGTATTAAGTTTGATAAACGCGCATTTTATGATGATAATGAGTGTATAAAAAAGTTTATAAACGAGGTGAATAATATACTTTTTCTACGACAAATACTTATTATTATCTTAAAATGATTTAAATCAAAAATTTGTATAGAGCGCCATCTATGAAACAACAGGGGAAACTGTCAAATGTCACATTTTTACATTTTATAAACACAATTATAAAGGTTATAAATCGAAATGTATTTCTTGAAAATTGACAGTTTTTCACAGTGAAAGTAAAGAAAATGTTTTATGAGCACTTCCGTGCCCGAATTTAAGTTATAGTTTACTGCCGACGAAATTAAAAGGTCAGTACAATGTTCATATAAACTTTTCAAATATTGGCGTTGAGAAACTATTTAATACTTTTGTATTTTTGCATTGAGATAATAAAATAATTTTCAAATTTAGTATAATTTTAAAAGAAAGGCAATTTATTTTAACAATTGTATGACATTTGACAACTGTCAACTAACTTAAAACTAACTTAAGCCCGTGACTAAAAACCTGTTGCTAACTTCAGCCCGTGACTAAAGCGCCATAAAGCCACAACTTGTCAATGTGTATTTAAAAGATCACTTAGTGTCATGGAAACATGTACGATAAAGGGCGTTTTAAAGGTGGATGTAGAAAAAATATATTTATGTACGTATTTACCGTTATTACCTATAAAATAATAAAGAAGCATAACAATATAGGTACATATACACAAAATAAGAGTGGTTTGAGCAGGCTCCCACGGCTAAATTACAAATTTTATTTAGGAATTTACGAGGTTTTTTATAATTTTTTTTAAGAGAAATAAAGTGTGCAAATAAATATATGTAATTAAATAAAAACAAGTCTACACTGTCCTTAATAAATAAGTACAAAATAAGTAATTCTTTTTAACAAAAATATAAATAAATATCACTTCTTTTGTACAAATAAGTTACATTAAGTTTTTTTAAATTAAATTAAAAATGAGGTAAAATTACTTCCTTTTTTATATATCTGAGGTACATAAATACGCAAGTAGAAATTTCACAACACATTTACGTTTATTTAAAAAAACGCGTCGATAGATTTGGCTAAAAAACTAGACCAAAGTTGAATGATCTTATATTTATATTTTGAAAAAAAATGGTTAGTTAATAACTAACAATAATTGAAATGTGGATCTTGATACTCAAAAATCTCATAATATGAAGAAAAAATATTCTTTAGATTGTTTACTAATTTATCGATTATTTAAAAGAAAATTAAAAATACTTTTGTTTGATATACATATATATGTATATTTTTGTCGAAAACAAACGAAATATGGAGCTACTACATGGATTTTGTTTTTAGGTATATTTTGTTGGTTTTTAAGAAAAATGTAAGTTGTGATATATTATTCTGAAAAGAATTTAATAAACTAGAACCTAAAAAAATTACTTTTCAAAAAAGGATTTTTTTAGCACGACAACTACCTTAATTAAACCCAGTCAGGGATTTTTCACGATAAATGTTAAATTTTAGTAATTTTATGAGTTTTAGGAGGTGTGGGAGCCTTGTTTGAGGTTATGTGATTTATGCGCATGCCATGAATTTAAATCTAACCAATTAAAATGTATCTTGACAGTGTTGCCCTATTGCCAAATTACTAAACTGGCAGATATGAAACTGGAACCGTACGAGGTAAAGAAAAACACTTCTATTCGGACAACTGTTAATTACTTAACCGCCACTTTTAGTTGGACATTGATAAACCGGCCCTTGGAAAAGTTAAAATCGACCGTTTCACTGGACTTACTTCTAAAGATCTAAACATTGCTTTCGCAAAACAATCGGCGTCTTCTTTGGAGCTAAAATTTAAACCGTAAACCTGCTTGTTGTCCCGCCACTGGTGGAATGTGGCTGTGGCTTGATTGTATTTCAGTCCTTTGAGAATGGCACAATTTATAACGACCTAAAAACATATACTTTTTATATTTCGTCAATTAAAACATGCTATTTTTATTACTCTGCCATATTATATTATTATACAGGGTCACCAAATAAGTTTTCATCATTTGAGGGGATTATAGTACACGCCAAAATAAGAAAGTTTTTCCTCTAGCATTTTTGCATTAGTGCCATTTTTTTTAATAAAAAAAATCATTTGTATAAGTTAGAAATTTTGGGCCGCCACTGGTTGTTGACCTATGACAACTGACGCAAAATATACTTGCACAGTGGGCAATAATCTGTATTCATTAAAAATTTCGATTTAAATCAAGTTATAACTTTTTTATTTTATTCAATGATTTAAATCAGTTTAAAAAAATTTCTAAAACATAAAAAACACTTCTAAGATCTAAAACTAAAGCACAATAATATATTGACACCATTTAAATAAATTTATATGCATAGAAAAACTGCTTATTTTGTTAAATAAAGTAATAAAGGATTATACAAAAAAATATACGACAGTTGCGGACGGTGGTTTATTTGTTAATAAAGTAGTGCAAATATAATATTATTATAGTCAAGTTTCTTGTTTTGACGTGTACTATCATTCCCCCAAAGGATGACAATTTGTTAGGTTAGACCCTGTATAACTTTACTAAAATGAGCATTTAAGGAGTTTTTATTAGCAAAAAAGTTCTTTTTGAATTAAATGGTGTATTATATTCATTTCTAAGGTAATGTGTACCAAAACCGTTTTACCATTGGAATGGATTTGTGCCTACTAAAATGTGACGTCACGCGGTATGTTAGGAAATTAAGAAAAATAAATGTCGACCAAAATAATTTCCAAACATTTTCGTAAAATTATTGTACCTCGTGATCGTGTAACTTCCTTCCCACCACCCTGAACGTCTGTTGTATGGTGTGCTGGTAGATGTGGACCTTGGAGAGTCCCGACGAGGACCCTGAGGGAACCCATTTTTTGTTGAGATCGTCGTATATCATCACGCTGGCCCTGGCGCTTGCTATCGATTGCTCACTAAAAATAAACAACAGAATCAGACATTTTTTGACAAATCGTCACCTGAGAATTATAGTGTTCTATCTGCATTTTCTTTTTTTTATTCAGGTTAGTCTTGTTTTAAGTATTAAAGATGATATTGGTCTATCTATATATAATTGGGGTAGAAATTGTAAAGTTTAAGGTTTAAATTGTACAATTTCTACCCCAATTATATATAGATAGAACAATAAGCATCTTTAATACTTAAAACAAGACTAACCTGAATAAAAAAAAGAAAATGCAGATAGAACACTATAATTCTCAGGTGACGAAATGGTAAAAAACGATGATTCATTCAGCAAGACATAATTGGATAACTATCAAGAACATGCTCTAGATTGAAATATTAATTGTAATAAGAATTATAAAGCAAGTTTTTAATGAGGTCTACTTTTTATACTGCTACGGCTTTTAAAGTTAAAGCTGCCTTTCCAGATGATTAAAAAATTTTACTTTATAAATGTAAATGTGAAGTACAATACACTATTAACATTTTTTCGTTTTAGAGCGAAAATACTTTTTTAAATTAGAACTGCGTTACTAGGAATTAATTGCATTGATCTTGATATCCAGTTTTTTAAGTTATCAAGTTAAATATAAAACTTAATTATGAAACTTGTTTTCAAAACAAAATTTGAATTAAAAAATAATTTCATTTCAAATTCTTCATTAATAAGTAATTTATTAATAATGGAATATTTATAAATAAGATATTGACATTAATGTATATAATTAACTATAAGTATATTTAATATCCATAAAAGTTCACTGATCTTTTTAATTATCATTTTAAGTAGGTAAAAAAAAGTTTAATTTTAAAATAAATTATCTTTTATTATAAAGAGGAGCGCAGATGTATTATACCTAAAATGGTATTTTATGTATCAAGTTTTATAAACTCCATTTTAGACACGAATTTAATTTAAATGAGTGCCTAGAAAAGCCTTTTGTATTTTGTTTTGAGATAATAAAATAATTTTCACCTTTAGTATTATTTTACAAGGCACTTTATTTTGTATGACTTTTGACAACTGTCGACTAAATTAAAACTAACTTCAGCCCATGACTAAAGCGACATAAAGCCACAATGTCAATGTGTATATGTACGATAATGGGCAGTTTAAAGGTGGGTGTAGAAAGAAGATATTATACCTACCTATAATAGGTATTCCACATGTAAAAATAATTTAAACAAACTCAAATATACAGGCTAGAAATAAAACAAAAAGTTGCTATAACAGATGTCTGAAGTCTGTTCTAGATAGTAAAAAGGTGCTATTGTTACATTGTTCAAAGGCTATATATCAAAAAGGCTATTAAAAACAAAAGTTTTATTTGTAAAATTTAGTTTGGTGCGTTCATTATGACTCACCCTGTATACAAACTAACATGGAAACCCCAGATTTCTAAACTTTATTTTTTAAATTTGTCATGATCAGCAATAATGCAAATGTAATAAATGAGTAAAATGTTTTTATTAATCATAATAATTATCATTATACTTTTGTAGGTTAATTAAAACACGTAATGAGTTTTTTTAATAAACAAACATTTCTAGGTAATTCTAGAGTTTCCAATTAATCATAATTGAAACATGTTTTAAAAACAAAATAAAAATATGTTTCACTTTTCCCTTATTAGTCGCTTGTGGTGTTTATTGAACCTGGCCATAAAATTACAATAAAAAATAACGTAATAATAATAATAATAAGCAGTTTATTCCCCCTTCATGTTTTTATTTATGAGATTCGTTTGCACTTTTTAATTTTACATTGTTCCATAAAAACAGCCTTGAAGGCAATAAATAAAATTAACAGAAACGTTTAAAACAAACTATCTCTATTTGGTTTTAGTTTTACCACAAATATTTGTTGGTACAGATAAGTCATTCGATAAAATAGGTATGCAAATTGGGGTTGCCTAATTCTAAAGTATTTTACGAAGCTGAACTGAAATCATTTGGTTAATATTACTTTACACCAAAGTAAAGTCGTGGAAGAATGCAATTTTTAATCAAATACTCATTAAATCGAGTTTGATAAAAAATAAAGACAAATAATGTTGAAATATTCTATTGTATGTTTTATTGGATAAAATCCACGTTAATGCTTTTACAAATATTTATATTTTTATTATTACAAATAACAGTGACATTTTTACAAAGTCCAAAAAATACTGAATTTTTATTTAATACGAATAACAATAGGGCAATAATTGAAAATTATTTTAATTAGGTACCAACAAAGATATATTTGGGAAGGTACTATGCTCCACACCTTAAAGTCGCAGTCTTTTAAAAATTTGGCATTTCAGGCTTTTCAGGTTATGTATCTGTCAAAGTATAGTCAACGAAAGAAATAATATTATGTTTAGGCGTTAAAAATGTATAAATCTTTATAGCATTACAATAACAATGGATGGTTTAAGAATTTAAGAATATAAATACTGCATTTAATGAAATTCTAAAGTGTATGGTGCCAAATAAGTAATATTTTTGTGCATTTGGTACAAATATCTGGTTTTCTCCATAAAATAATTTTAACTAAACAGCATTTATTAAAAAAATCTAGCTTCTCTATTATGGAATAAGAATATCTGTTTTAAAGGTAGGTTAATATATTATAACAAAAATATCATCTAATTTTGTAATTTTAAGGTTAGAAAAATTTATTTTCACCAAAATAAATAAGTATTTTGAATTATTTAAGACTGTATAATATGGTATTTAAAAATGTGGTAGTTTTTCTTATCCAGCTTAAAGTGTACCTACATAAAGTTTTGTCAATACAAATAGTTAAAAAGCTTCGACTAAACTTGATCTACATTGAAAAATCATTATAAATCTAAAAAATTTAATAAATCACATGTTATTAAATATTTTCAAATTGCAAGTTTCTCTAAAAATTGTTTGTTTTCTTATAATCTAACTTAAAGTAGGTATGCCGAGAGGTATGCACAAGTTTTGTCATTAGAAGTATAAAAGCTTCAATTTAATTTGAACCATATTCAACAATTATTTAGTATACCTATATTTATTTATGACTATATTAACACACTCTTCCAAATAATCCACTTATTTATTTTGGTCAAAATAGATTTTTCTAACCTTAAAATACAAAATTAGATGATATTTTTTGTTCTAATACATTAACCTCTGATACAGATATTCTTATTTCATAATAGAGAAGTTAGATTTTTTTTAATAAATGCTGTTTAGTTAAAACTATTTTATGGAGAAATGTAGACCCAATGCACAAAAATATCACTTATATTGCACCTTACACTTTGGAATTTCATTAAATGCAGTATTTATATTCCTAAATTCTTTAAACAACCATTGTTATTGTGATACTATAAAGATTTATTAACTTTTAACGCTTAAACATAAGCGGTAACACTATAAATATTATTTTTTTCATTGACAGATACATAACCTGAAAAGCCTTAAATGCCAAATTTTCAAAAGACTGCGTTCCGTACGTGGTCACGTGGTGGGACTGTGGAGCATAGTACCTATTTTAATTCGTTACAACTTAATTACAAATAAATAAAAGGATAGTTTACATTTAGATAGTTCAAACATCAAATCTGATTAAAAAAAAATATTTTGAAATAAATAAAAAATTAAAATCGGGAAATATTTTAGACAATTCTGCAAAATATTGAAGTTAAGAAAAATTAAATGAAGATTTTGGATATTTTGTAACCGAGTTATATTTGTAAAAAAGCCCCATGTTAATATAGCCTAAAGTTATGGGAGTTAACTAGGGAGTAAATTTACATCAAGATACCAATGTTCTAAGGATTTAACAAAGGGTTGTCGGCTAAAAAAACAACTAACTATTCAGGTTGCATAAGTCTATAAAAACAATTTTTCAAAATTAGTTGGCATAAACATGCCTTAAGGCAGAATTCTGTTTATGTCAAATGCATTTAAATTAAAAAAGAACACACAATTATTAATTATTAATGTATAGTAAATTTAAAAGGAAACGACGTACACGTCATCAATCAGCTGATCGGGCATGGTTGTCAATGTAATGATAAAATCATTGCATGAAGTGAAAGTGGTAGTGCAACTACAGGACGATAGATTGCGTTTACATGAATAATACCATAGGGTCCCTAGATTTGGGATCTTAGAATACCATGGTATGCATAGTTTTATCACATACATGACTGCCAAAAGTATGTTTTTAGCCATTTTTAAAAACATTTTCAGCTATAAAACCCAGAAGTTTTGCCATCTAAAGTCAGTCTATATATTATTATTTTATGTATCCAACATATATATTGTTAAATATTCTAATATATAATTAATAATAATCCTATTTACCTCTCTAACAACAGTTAAAGGTTCTTGACTTCGGCATTTTAAAAATAGGAAAAACAAAAAAACGATATATAACAAACGATATAAAATAACACAAACAACAAACAAAATACACGAAATTATACACGAATTAAACGAAATATTCAAAAACACAACTGACAGCTTCGAAATTCTAAAACGTCAATTTCTTTTTCTATGCGTCATTTTATTAAGCAAAATTTAAATCCAAACATGACAACATTGCAATTGCTGTCAACTTGGTCATTTGGTTAAAATGCATTAAAATATTCAATTACAGACTTCGTTTTATACAAATATTGGTACCAGTGCGCAAAATTATGACGTCATCGATGACGGGTAAGTCTTTTCCTTTTAAATTTACTATAGCTATTAAATTTAAATAATATTTTAATTTTTTATTTGCTACTTATAATTGTGGTAGGTAAATAACTTAGCTAAGTTAAGGTAGTTGGTGTGCTGTAAGCATACCATCAGAAAATTTTAAATTTTTGTATACTTTAAGGACATGACAATACAATTATCCTTAAAATTTGAAGTCGATTGACCGTCTATAACCCGAGATAAGTTCAATTAAAAATTGAATAATTAACATGGATTGTATACGCTTTCTGTAGTTCTGTACCAGTTTCTTAGTTATAAAAAAAACTAACTGTCAGAAGCTTTCAAAAAACTAACAGTTATTTAATGTAATTTGCTGAGTTTAAAAAAAAATTATTACAATTTTTTTACCGTCCAATTGTTTATAAATAACCGTTTAAAGTTCAACAAGAGTATAGATATTATTTCCGCAGTAAATTCAAACAGACTGATTCAGTCTCCAATATATCTATTGGTTGAGCATAAGCGACGTTGCCGGATTAAAACTTATGAAAATATTTGAAAGTATTACGTAAAGGTAACTTTTCCAGGGTACAGTCTTGCGAAAAAATGATGAATCACTTAGCTACAAGCTCGTATACTTTTACGGTGCGTATAATCTAAAAATTTTTGACAATATTGTACCACGACAACTACCTTAAGAACAACCGGGATTTAAATTGTTTTTAGTCCTGTCTCACTTGCGGGATTCTATCCACCTAATACAATATAATAAAAAAAAACTACTCACAATAATTATACAGACTAAAGTGGTCGCACCACATGGATTTCGGGTCACTGAATCCGAATCTGTGGTCGGAATTTCGACATCACCCTAAGGTGTTTTTTCTAACCTCAAAAAACATCGTTTCGATTGCTTATGATGTATTAAAAATAACGTTTTAAACCATTTTCCATATTAGGTATTTTTTCGTAGTCACATGTTACTTTACCGTTTTCGTTTACTGTAAAGATAACTTATAAGTCAACATATAAGTAAAAATGTAGTTATTTTTACTTAAAATATGCCTTGGGATGTTTAAGATCGAAACAAAAACACGGTATTTTTTTACATATTTAACAATGCAAAAATACGCTAAAGAAGCATCGCTAGTGGCGCCACACGTGGCCGTTATCATCGTCACCAGAATTCAGTATGTTACAAACGAGTGTTTTTGAGGATAAAGCAGGAAAATGTTAAAAATATCGGGAAAAAACCGTGGCACGATTTGTTGTGTTTTTGGGTGTTTTTCTAGAGAAAATCCTGAGTTAAGTTTACGTAAATTGTAAACATTTAAATTCAGTAAAAATTATAAAACAAATTGTCTAAATTTAAACAGCGTTGATTAAAAAAGTCTCCACTCTACGGAAGCGCTGAAGGGCCATGTTAAATAATTTTTAATAATAGGATTTCCAGTTATATTTTCAAATAATATCTGGAAATTCCAATTATCAATTGGAAATCTCCAATTAATAAGTGGAAATTTCCAGATATTATTTGGAAATTTCCAATTAATAAGTGGAAATTTCCAATTAATAAGTGGAAATTTCCAGATATTATTTGGAAATTTCCAATTAATAAATGGAGTATAAAAAAGAGTATAAAAAAAGAGTATAAAAAAGAGTATTAAAAAGAGTACCTATAAAAAAGAGTATAAAAAGAGTAAAAAAAAGGGTATAAAAAAAAAGTGTATAAGAAAAGAATATAAAAAAGAGTATAATTTAATTGGAAATTTCCACCTATTACTTGGAAATTTCCAAATACTTAATATCTGGAAATTTCCACTTATTAATTGGAAATTTCCAAATATTATCTGGAAATTTCCACTTATTAATTGGAAATTTCCAATTGATAATTGGAATTTCCAGATATTATTTGAAAATATAACTGGAAATCCTATTATTAAAATTATTTAACATGGCCCTTCAGCGCTTCCGTACCACTCAACAGTAAAATACCAAAAAAAGGTATTATATTATGTATTATAATAATTATGTATAATATTATGTTGCCATGAATTCGTAGGTATATTTTGTCGTTTTAAATGCAGTTGTCAGCGTTTTTTTAGAGGACTCAAATATAAAATTGTTTGATTTTAAGGTTATGTTTGTACAACAATTATTTTTTGTTAGATTTCTTAAAAATGTTCAAACTTAAATATAAATTATATTAGCTAAAGTTATCATTAGTTAATCTGCACCAACAAATATACCGAATAGATTCCTTTTGCAAAATTTTATTTACAATTAAAAACACAATAATTCACCATGATCCCTTAGATAAAATACACACACTAACGTAACTATATATGCATATTATCGTTGAGTTTCTTAATCAATGATATAAGGAATAATACATCGAAATCGAGTTAAACCAAAGTTTTTTAGTTTTTACTTGCAACGCAAAACACAAATAACGTGCGCCATTTAGCCGTGCAATTGAACAAAATTTGACCACCAGATGGCGCACGCGTTGCGAAAACCCGATGCTTCTTTAGCGAAAACACAAAACACAAAAAAACTATGTTCTTTGAGGTTAGAAAAAAACCCAAGGGTAATGAAGCAACTCCGATAACAAAACCGATATGATGTAACTACCTACTATTTTATATTAATTAAAATTCCAATACTTTTAATACATTTTCTAAAATATATTTTTTTAAAAATTAATTTTGCAATAAAAGTAACAACAAACCATGCCCAATACTCCTGCCACTCCTTTTTGGGCTCCTCGTCGTTTTGTTCGTCGTCATTTAGCGAGTCGGTCCTTCTCAAGGTCACGTCAAACTCCGTCTCGATATCCTTACAAAACTGATCGATGTCAAACTCCATCGCGAGCCGTTCACGAACTGCACTGATCGACCGAATCGCAAATCGCATCGACTAATCGAAAAATAGGTTCGACTGCGAACTAGCACACGTAACCCGTCAAAGCGAACTGAAAAAATCAAGCGGATAATTTTCGAGTCGACCAGGAAGTCGTTATCATCTGGGGGAGACCACAACCCGCTGTTAACGCTCTTAAGGTCCATTTACATTATCTCTAAGTCAATACGGGAGATACCGCGAAACATGTTTTCAATTTCGTGGAATACCACTTGTGTGTTATATTCAATTTTCAAAATTATTAGTAAGTATAGGTAAGTCACGATTTTTTGGTAATGCAAACTTTATTGACAAATGATTCATTTTGGCTTGACGTTGACAATTTTAAAAACCAACTAAATAAATGTGTTTATTAAAGCAATTTACTGCACAATTATTGGCAAAAATTAGTTAAGATAATATACCTATATAAAAGTGTGGTCTTTTTTAATCAAACTCTTTTTTTTCGGTAATTCAAAAAAGGAAAATTTAATAAAAAAATTAGTTTGATAGTAAAATATGATACTTACTTTTTTATAGGGAAATGATTGTTTATAAAATGTCCTATATGTTACAAAACAAAATTTAAAACCTTCTTTAGTTTAATAAAAATATGAATCATAATAAATTTATAAAAAGATTCGTAAAGCGAGCGTGGAGAAACACCTTAACCGACTGACACCAGATTTCACTGAATAATTTTTGTAATCGATCGTGATTTGCAAAACGCCCGGTAGGTAGGTAAGTAGAAAATTTTGTAATTAATGGTTTGGTGAAACAATTTTGCAGGTAAGGCTTCCGCAAATTTTCTACTAATGCGTTTACAATTGATATTACAAATAAAGTTTAATTGAATGTTAAAAATTTGCATAATTTAAGGTTGTAAAATTAATCAATCTTGTATTATATTACCTGAGTAATATTCGAGGTAATATTGACATTTCAAGAGAAAGTGAATAATACCACGATTTTGAGGTAATATAAATGCTGTTTTAACACATTAAATTTTATTTTTATTATTTAAATTAAATGGATACTATTTATGCTCATATTTATGTCATTGATAAATTTTTTTTTCCTGCAAATATTACAAATAAGAAAATGGTTCAAACTTCTTGACAATTAATTATAAAAAAATGTTTACATTGTGTTTAGAACACCATATAATCATAATAACAATAGATATAGCAAGGAAATCCTGACAGCTCGGAAGCGTATGAAACAGATAACGAAAACAAAACGCAGTAAAATCGGGCGACGTGTTTGATTTTTTTTGACCACAAAATTTAATATCACACACCGTATTATTATAAACCTACATTATAAATAAAATATACCACTTGAAACAAAAATTACACAAACACTTTTGTTGGTTGATGATAATGGAAACTTTCGATAAATAATAATTGTCGTTAATTTAAAACAATCGCTTATGCTACTACGATTCTAATATAAATGTACAGTGCAGTTGTAGCTACTAAACCTATTTATTTATTTTAAATCAGCCGTTAATAAAACTTTATTATTTTTTTGCGAATAAAATTATTAGGAAAAAATATCTCTATGGTTTGTTCAATTTAATTTTAAAAAGGTTCAATTTCATTTTATAATAAAACATAGACTCCTCAAACTATAAGTTTTAAATAAAAAATCTAAAACTCTTAATTTAATTTTATTTCTTATAAACCAATGGTATGTTATAGTAAAAAATGTCCATTAGATTTATATATATTTATATATCATAATAATAGGAGTACATTTTATGTCTATGGACACTGATTTTAAAATATTTTCTTAGTAATTGTTCGTTTAATTTGCTAAAGCAAGCAACATTGCCCACCCAGCTTTAATTTTGTGTCAACATAAAATTGATTTTATTACATTAAAATTAAAATTGAAAATTTACGTGTAACCAAGTTGGCAAATACTTAAAAAATGTAAATTTTAAGTATGAAAATACTTGGTATATAGTTCACAGAACTTAAAATTAGGTCTTTAGCGGAACATTCCTTTACGTAGTGCGTCCTACATTTAATAACAAAAGCTTTATTCTGCTTTTAAAGTCCTGAGAGACAAGCGTCATTATCCTTTTGTCACAAGATTGATCAAATATTAAATTTTGCTTGAATATTAAGTCGAAAATGTTAAAATTTTACAAAATAATGTCACCTTGTGAAAATTAGGTTAAATTTAGTAGTTCAATTAACTCGGCTTTGGAATCGGTTTTCAATTTCCACTGAATTTGCTGTTTACTTTCCAATGAAAACATCGTTGTTGATGAAAATGTAGTTGACCCTTTACATATATCATTATTACTTTAACACGAGCTAATCAAAGTTATTTGCAGAAGTGTTTTCAGTTAAGATAATGATTCTAAATTATGCCAAACAATCTTCTCGTTACTGGAGATTGTCGTCCTACTGTTTACTAGGGAAAACGCTGACCCATTTATGCAGCTTTTTTATACGCGCCTTTTGAATGGAAAATTAAAAGTATAACCCAGTTATATTTGTGCAAGTTGCATGTGCAATGATGACCTATATTTGAAAAGAGACTGCGTATAAATAAAAAAATATATCGACGTAATATTTCATTTCCTTTTAACGAAGTGGTCATAGATAAAGGTTAAAGCAGCTGAAATTTTCATGATTTTGATTTAAAAGTACTAAATTTAGTGTATGAATGTATCAGGAAATAAAAATTACTATAGTATAGTTTTATCCCAAAATGTTCTGTATACAGAACATTTTGGGATAAAACAGGCACGAAGATTAATATCTGTTAACATATCGCTTATAAACCGAAATTTTCATGCAACATGCTCATAACTACAAACATGCAAATAATTTCTGCATTAGGCGGTGTACCGCAGGAACAACTTCCAACACCGTTTTCAGTATTTTATACAGTCATACCTACTGAGTAATTCTGAATAAATATTTGGATAAAAAATAGATTATAAAAGTTTTTATGGAGAAAGTCATGTTTTCGTAACATCTTATTGGTATTTACGTTCTGATAAATGATAAATAAGATAAAATTGTTGTTGTGTTATGATTAAATATGAATTAACGGTTTTATGAACGTTTTTATTTAGTTAGTAATACATTTAAAAATTCGATAAGAAAGCCGTATAAAAAAATTGACTAGGTATTTTCTTTGAATCCAAATTATGCAATTTTTATATTAGTCCGGGAGGCAGTGAAGATTTTCGGTACTTATTTTCCCAGTCGGCAAACACCGATACAATTATTGGGTTTGTTATTCTGAGCAAAATTTATATATATTTAGGGGGGGTTTTCCGATGGGTTAAGGCGGAAAATGCGTTATAAAGTACAAATATATTGCACTTTTTTTTCCAGTGATAAAAATAATTCCATTAGTGAGAGATATAGTGAACTTAAGAAAAAAAATAGTCTGGCTAATCTGTGAGTATGGGTAATATGTCTGGCAGGTGGAAAAATTATCAAAACCATTGCCCTTATTTTCGCAGTCCTAAAAATTTTGTGAGATGATAGTTTATATTATAATTACAGCTGCAAATATAGTCTGGCTAATGTGGAACACTCCGAAAGCCTTGCCAGACTCGTCCAACCCTCCACAGGCGCGCTAAATTCGGCATGTTCAATTATACAGGCGATTGTTGTCATCTCTACATGTTTTTACTTTTCATAATGTATGATAAGAAAATAATTTGTGTAAAGCAAAATTTAAATATGGCTAAAAAAAATGTCAGTCCGTCCGCCACCAAAAAACTTTATTCGCGAATAACTTTGTAACTATCAGAGATACGAGAAAATTTGTGCAGTTGTTTTTTGTAGGATTATCTACAAAATCAATCTCTTGACAGTCTTTTGTATCTCCCTTAGTTTTTGAGTTATATCAATAAAAAAAAAGAAAATCGCGAAAATTCCCATTCAAACGCGAGTTTCTGCTATCTGACTTGTGAGTCTGGCAGGGCTTTCGTGATTGTAAATAACAGCCAGACCTGTATTTTCTACGAAATTATAGTATTATTTATCATGTGACAAATTTTCAAATCCGGGAAAATAAGAGCAAAATTTTTGTAATTCTTACGATTTTCAAGATGCCGCCAGAACAATTTGCCAATTTCATAAATCAGCCAGACTTAATTTTGATTATAGTTTATGACAGTACCAAATAATGAGTTAAATTTTAAGCATGGGAAAATAAGGGCTACGTATTTCAAAAACCGGTCAAATTTTTGCTTCCGCAAATTTTCAGCCAGACTGACTTTCCTTCACTTGGGATGTGCCAGACTGTTATTTCCATTAATAAAATGACTCACTTTAATTAATGTGAAATATTTATGACTGGGAAAATAAGTGGACTTGACTTTTTGGCTCATCTAGTGAACCCATCCGAAAATTTTAGCCAGACACACAAATTGTCGTTTTGTGTCACCATTTGAACAAACTTAATGACATTCACAAACTGGGAAAATAAGTACCGAAAATCTTCACTGCCTCCCGGACTATATATAATTAAGTGTTCTAAGTAATACCTGATGTGTCTTTAAAAAAATGTAGTTTGCCTTGCTAAAGCAATTTCTCAACCACATAATTCATGCCACTTATGTGTTACACAGATTATTGTAATTCAAAATTGTCACTCTTCCAAGGAAATTGCTCATTGTATTCGTTAAGGCAAAATTTTAAAATTGCTTTGCTATATATAGTATTTTTACTGGGTTTGCAGATATGTTTCCTTTCTTTTTTAGTCTGTGTACATTTTAAACTTTTAACATAAATTAAACATAATAGTATATTATGTATTAAGTTTGATAAAAGCCATTTTAGTCACGAATTTAATTTAGGCAGTGCTTTATTAAATGAGTGCCTAGAAAAGTTCATAAACTTTTTCTACGACACATTAGTTAATGTTATCTAAAAAATGATTTAAATTAACTATTTGTATATAGCGACATCTAGGTATACGAAAATAAAGTTACCACCCCAATAAAATTTTTTGACGTAAATTAACATTGCCCGTCATTATTTTAATTAAACTTAACAATTATTGAATTACAAATTCGTTCAAAAAGTGACAGTTGTATTTATTGGAATTCCCGTTAGAATTTCTAACTTGGGAATCTACCGGCGTTAACATCTCAAATTTTTTTGTGTAAATCAAAATTTACTTCTTGAAAATAGGCTAACAATCCATATAGAAGCAGTTTTTCGCAGTAAAAGAGAAGAGAATGTTTAATGGGCACTGTACGCAAAATTATTAACGCTTTATTAGTTAAATCTAGTTAACTGCACTACAACGGCGAAATCAAAAGGCGTCAAGAAACTATTTAATACTTTTGTATTGAAATAATAATAGCATGTTAAAGAACTATGTCTTAAGACGTCATTTAGTCGCACGCGGACAATTTATGGACGAGTGCGACAAAAGGTCTTATGACATGAGTTCTTTATGCTATTTTGCAAAAATTCTATAAAAGAAATTAATTTTATAGGTACCTTAAATTTAATTTAGTCGAATTTTACTTTAGATAGTTGGTATCAGTCATTTGTTTGACAGTTAATGTCAAAATCGATTCGTCATGCCGCCCTTAAATTACTTATTTACAATAAGCGGCTGTTAATGTTAAAGACGAAAAAAAGGATTTTCTTTGGTGTTAAACAAAATTTATTGCCAGAAGTCTCGTAAATGCTAGAAAAATCATAAAATATTATAACCAATATGCAAAATATTATGCTGTTTAAAGTATAGCCAACCTATAAAATCAAAATTTTGGGTGGGATAAAGTTTCTCTTTTCAGCACCGAAAGCGGTGTTATAATGAAGTCATTATGAACGCAAAATAGATACAATAATTTTCACATTTAGTATTATTTTCGATTATTTTATAAAAAGCCACTTTATTTTAACGATTGTATGACATTTGACAACTGTCAACTAACTTAAAACTAACTTCAGCCCGTGACTAAAAACCTGTTGCTAACTTCAGCCCGTGACTAAAGCGCCATAAAGCCATAGCTTGTCAATGTGTATTTAAAAGGTCACTTAGTGTCATGTACGATAATGGGCGTAGAAAAAATTTTGTTTTATGTTTAATTCATGTTAATTCGTGTTAATACTTTTAAATGTACCTACTTGGGCTAAAAAATCAAGAAAAGCTGCTAATTAGTTATAAAAAAACTGATTTGTCTAACTTGAGTGTACAAAAGCATAATATGCTTATTTTAAAATCAAAAATATAAAATAGTTAACATTATATATTTGCGTTGTTTTTATGACAAGTACCTAGGTAGGTAAGTATTTTTGTTTTTTGTTAATAATTATACCTAATATTTAATAAAGTAATCATAACAGCCATGCTAATTGATATTTCTTCAAATAACAATTTTGGGGGGTTGTCCCATTTATCTGAAACACCTTGTAACTTTTTGATTTTGACCTTTTAGGGAAATAACGATGTCATAAAATAAGGTACATCTTTCAAATAAAGCTAAAATTTGTTAAAAATTGAAAAACTCTTCATAATTTTTCTTTGCATTCTGTAGGTCCTCAAAAAAACAAGGAACTTTAATATTCTCAAGTAGGATTCCTACACTTATATACCTAATTATAGTACCTACAAATCTAACATCAATACAGAAAATCTTTCTAAGAAAGTCAAAACTCTAAACACCGAAGAATCAAACCTTCGGCGGGTTTCTTGGCTGCTACTCATTTCGGAGATGCTGCTGAAAAAATTTTACACTTAAAATTAAAACTTTTTTCTTATTAAAAACAAAATTTAAAGTAACGGACACGGCCAAACACGATCGCGACTAAATAAGGAAAGCGGAACTATAAAAAATAATATTCCTACCTACGTGAAATGTTTTACTTATAAAAGAAGTGAAAGAATTAAAAATAAACAATATCAATAAACTGTACTTTATGTTGCATTAGAAATACAGGGTGTCTTATCTTTTCCTTTCATTTTTAGTTTTGTCTTCTTTTCATTTGTTCCAAAAATAAGTAGGTACTGAAAAAAACGCTTTTTGATTAAAACAAATAAAGACAATGTAACATTATAATAGGGTTTTACAATACAATTTTTGTTAAAAATAGAAGTAAATTAAATTTATCCAATAGATAAATGGATACCTACTTACCTAGATAAGATTAATAAATGAACTAAATTAATAAGTCGCGTAAGCAAAAAAAATGATTTCTAAAAAAATCTCGAAACACAAGTGTTTCTCACATTTCGCCCATTAGGCCCCTAAAATTGATAGGAAAGGTAATACACCCGGTATTTTTGCATTTAAATTTAAAATATTTTGTCACAATGCAACATCTGGGGCTTACATGTATTGCGTAGGTACCCAATTACCTGGGTAAATTTTAGTGGTAAATTGGGTAATATTTCAATATCTAAGAATTTTAGGAAATTTTTACACAAGTACCTACCTACGTTACGCATCCCTATGTAAGATCAGTTGTAAATAAACAAGAATAGTCTAAATAAAGCATTGTAAACATAAAAACATCTGCTGCAAATAAAGAAAAAGCACGAAATGTCTGTAAAATGAATCAAACGTTGTTAATAATTTTAAAATGTAGGTAGGTATGCCCGAAACCGCAAAAAAAGCTGTAATTTAGCATAAATAAACATGGTGTTATTTCTGTTTTGACGCAAACAGAGAAATATTGACCTTAAAGGAAACTAACATAGGGGTGAAGTGAACATTTGTAGACGGCGGTTGAGGTTCAACACACCCAACTTATTTCCGAATCGATAAAAATACAAGAAATAAACACGGAAAACAAAAATCCTTGCAAATTGTACAGGTGCATGCCTAATAAACAAAATACTGAACAAACAAATGTCGACTGGTTTTATAAACAAAAAACAACAAATTGTTGAATTATGTTTTAACAAATAAGCCTACACGCTGCAAAAATTGCAAATTACAACGTTTTTAGCAACTTCATACATTAGTATGATGTGTTTTGGGATAAAACAAAGGCTTTAATGGCATTGTTATTAGGCGAAATGGATGGGCTCACCTCATTTTGACGTTTTTTTTCAATGAAAAGCACAATTAACTTCACACACAGTCCTCAAACATCACCACACAAGAATTGTCCGACAGTTTTTCGTGTCGATTTTCACGAATTTCCACAACTTCATTTACCATCCACGCCTATACAACAGCCGTCACGATTTAACAACTACACCGAAACGTTCGCCATGTTACAAAATTAGCTACTGGAAGTGGCCGCAGATTTCTACTACAGCGACCTATCTGTCTTCCCTCTCATTTCCTACGCGATCCGCAAATGACTCACGCCAAGACGGATAACCAAAGAACACCTTTGCGGATAACTTCAGAGACAAGGATAATCTTAGGATTATCAAGCTTGAAGGATGTCTCTGGATAACTTTCTTATAGTTTCCTTAAATTTCAATTATTAAGTATACGTTTAAGTCACAATCCATTCGTCCCGGATTTTATCAACATGTCCCGCAAGAGTAAATGTCCCGGAAACGTCCCGGATTTTGCGTTTAAGCACACAAAATAATAAATCTGACAAAAATAAAATAGAGTTACAAATTCGTACAAAAAACGGTTTTTGTCGCTCACGAGTAAAAAAATACACGCCACTTTGTCATTGGTATTATTTAATTAAAACTGCGTCCAAAATGTTCCCTTTTATAATATTAAAAGATTTGTAGAATTATGCTTGTGTCTACCAGGAACTGATGCTCCCACCGAACGGGTATTTTCTGGAATAAATAAAATGTGGACCTCAGAAAAAAACCAACTGTCCGTGGAATCAATAACATGTAGGTATGATGTTTGTAAAATATAATTTAGAGTATTCTTCTTGTAAAGAATTTTATAATTCTTTAAAGAATAATTGCTTTCTGCGGAAATTTCATTCGGCATAAAAGTATTTGTAAGTTATATATTTCTAAAAAAATAAATGTGTTTGGAAACGAGTACCTAATTTTTAAATACCCCCAATTCGAAATTTATTTTTATATACAGGGTGAGTTTTAAGTTGACGCGTTTCTTTTAACAGCGGGTGGAAATCAGATAGACAAATAAATATTTTAAGTAACTTTTTTTTAAAAACTCAAAAATAAGCGAGTTATAGCCCTTCAAAGTTTAGTTAAATTTTGAGCCGGTCCTGGCTATTGTTAACAAAAAACATAACCATACAAATAAAAATAACAAAATAAACAATGCAAAATGTCATCTATGACAACAAACATAACCATTTAAACCAAAATGACACATTTTGAACAATAATTGAGGCCCAAAAAAAAACTTAATAATGACATTTTTCATTGCTAAATGTCATTTTGATTTAAATGGTTATGTTTTTTGTCATAGATGACATTTTGCATTGTTTATTCGCAGTGACTACGTGCACGTTAGAGCTATACTCTATGCGTTAGAGTGCCTGCAATTTAGTTTTTACCGGCACGCTAGTGACGAAATGGATGAAATTCGTCATACATTGACGTGCCGCCAGGGTTGCCAACTCTTGAGATGTACATTATATAATATATAGTATTTTCTCAATTTAATAGAAGTTAGAATTTTCATTTTCAAAAAACGTTTGTTGTGACAATAACTCCAATTTCAAAGATACATATATGTATAAGGTATACCTTTATTATACAGGCTATATATAAAAGTTGATAAACTACTCAAAATAGCGTAGAATATAAATATTCTCTTATTGGCGACACTGCTGTGCAATGTTGCCATCCCGTAAAAGATGAACAATACGAAAACCGTTTTGTTTATAGATTTCCGTACGGGAATCTATAAACAGCACTACGGTTTTCGTAAAACTTGTTTGGTCCACTTTTATTTATAAAATCGCCTTTGATTTTAACTTTTAGAAAATTTAAATAGTTTTTTGTAAGGGGTCGTAGGTCAACATTTTGTTTAGATTTTTGTAATTTTTAGTTTAATATCTATAATTTTTGTTTTAAATATTTAAAAAAAAATATCAACCGATAAGGATAAAACAGTTTCTTATTTAAGATTTTATTTTCAAAACGTCTTTAGAAAATAACACAATTTTTAAACCCTAATTACTCAAAATGGTGCGTAATTTTTGGAAACTATAATCGAAATTACATTATTTGATTATTAATAAAATAATAAATAACAAATATATAATTAAGAAATTCGTCACGCTTCTTAATATGTTTATCGCGCAGGTCTGACTCACCCATTTTTTTGGTTGTTTTTGTTAATAATCCCTTCAACGTAATCAAGCGTTCAGTTGTAATTTGGCTTCGATGGGACGAATATGCTCATTTATTACTTTTATCTACATCAACAAATTGCTAGGTATTATTAGAATTCTAACGCATCTATTAGGTCAAATAATACTACGAATATTTTTGATATTTAAAAAAATAAAAAACATTAAAGTTGCAGTCATTAAATGGTCTAATTGTATTTTTTTCCAGGACCAACATGTTAAAGCCATGGCTATTAAGCCAATGAATATTAAGAAATAAGACAACCAATATAAAAGGATAATGGGATTTAACCAGAACTCATCAATAAATTTGGCAAGTACCAATTTATTATTTTTAAATTTTTTGACTAAAATAAAAGTAGGTACCTAGGTATTTAATAAATACTATTTATTCGATAATTTTTAAGTTTTTTTAAGTAAATTTCTTCAAACTTGCTTAGTCTACTTTTATTTATAAAATCGCCTTTGATTTTAACCTTTAGAAAATTTTATATAGTTATATATATATATATATATATATATATACAGTGTGGCCCATTTGTTTGCTCCAAAAATACAGTTTACCATGGTAAACTGTATTTTTGGAGCAAAATACGCCATATTAGTACAAAATGCACCTACTGTGTCAGTTTTTTAGAGTAAATTTTTAATAATTCATATTAGCGATTTTTTAAACAAAATCTAAGCAAGTAATAGTACCGTGTATCTATTAGTTTAATTTTATTTCAATGTTTTTTCATGGATAACTTGACAGAATAAAATTTTGTAGTTATTATTGTGCATTTTTCTACTTAAAATTTTTCAATAAAATTTAATGTAGGGTCAATTTGAGGGGTGGTGAATCCAGTGCTGTGCTTAGATTTTGTTCGAAAAAATCGCTAATATGAATTCTTAAAAATTTACTTCCAAAAACTGACATAGTAGCTACAAGGCCTAGGCCTTGTATTTTGTACAAATATGGCGTTTTTTGCTCCAAAAATACAGTTTATCAAGATCTACACTTTAAAAGTGAAATCCGGTTAAAGTCGCACAATAAATAAAGATTTTACAGGGGTGAGTCGCAAACAAATGGGTCACACTGTATATATCTATAATTTTTGTGTTAAATATTTTCAACAAAAATATCAACCATGGTTGCAATAAGTATAAAAAGTATACGTATAAAAATGATTCTTATTTAAGTTTTTATTTTCAAAACGTCTTTAGAAAATAACACACATTAAATTAAATTTTTAAACCCTAATAACTCAAAATGTTGCGTTATTTTGGGAAACTGTATAATCGAAATTAGATTATTTGAGTATTAATAAAATAATAAAAGTTACGTTTTACGAACACAAAAATCGTTTTTTAAAAAATATTTATTTTTCACAATTTAATTTTAATTAAGTTTTACAATAAACGTTACAAATAACAAGCAAGAGAAGAATGAATAGAAACTAGCATAACTTAATCTAAAGGGTTCTTATCGGTGCACAGCACAGCACATTTCATGCACAGGTGTTCGTCGTAACTCCTCCCTGCTAAATAGGAAGTTTAGGGTCGAAGGGTCCTAAACTGACTTCTTGATGATTTGATGTTAATGTCCTCTTCCGAAATAATGTCCTTAGTGTTTGTCTATTTTTCCAAATTACCACTAATATACAGTGGCGTAACAAATTCTGAGTGGGCCCCCCCGCAAACGATTTTAATGGGCCCTCTTTACAATAAGAAAAAAGTTTATTTAATAGGTAATTTTTAAAATCATAGTACCATAGTACTTTTAAACCTACATTATACATAATATTTTATAAATTAAAAATTTTGACAGGTAGGTATAGAGTGTAAACGATAGACAGACATACGATAAGCAAATAAAAAAGGATTAGGTGAGAAAAATTGCTGTATCTGCAATTTTTGGTAGTAAAACATAAAATATTTAATTAATTTTGCTTTAAAAATATCTTATTCTATATACCTTTTTATATGCAGGATCATTTTCGTAATTCTATAATATCTTTTAAGATTCTTTAAAAAAAATATTTTCTGTTCTTATTACCAAATATATTAAAAATATTATACTATTATATCAGCAATATTAACAATTTAAAAATAATAATAATTTAAAAAATGTATACACATCTTACCAAGTTTAAACAGTCTTGAAAAAAATTAAAAATATATTGTAGATAGTCTTAAAGAAGTTAAATTTAAAAAAAAAATTAAAAACATAAACATTTACTACAAAAAATGGTCTGATCTTCTAGAGTTTTTTTTTGCAAATTCAGTTATAATATTAATAATAATATTCAGTTATAATGTTTAATGTCTTAATAAACTCATGTTCAATACTAATAATTATAATTAATAAATTACAAAGACGTTGTTTTCCCATAGTGTTACGAAGATATGTTTTCACTATTTTTAGTTTCGAAAAAGAACGCCTTGGGCCCCCTGACCGTCTGGGCCCCCCCGCGGTGCGGGGTCTGCGGGGGTGCTTATTACGCCACTGCTAATATAGAGATAATTACTAATGGGTATAGTAGAAAGGTCCATACGGGGTGGTCCGAAAGTTTTACTTCCAATAGCTTTAAATTTGATTTATCCAAATCTTCTTTAATATTGATTAATTCATCTAATTGTATGTTTTCCAATTTAGAAGTATTTATTAAATACTTGGTAGTGTTAGGTTTTATAATTTCTTTAAAATTCAGCATAACGGGTTGCTTTATTTTTTTCGTATAAACAGTAGGGAGTATTATTCTGTTATCTATTTTAATCGAACAGTTCGATGGGTAAATTAATGTTGGTTGAACCAGGATTGAGGATGCTAGTCGGCTTGAGCAGTTTTGATACAATTTGGCTTCTTTATTTGGTATGATTATCCAAAAATTAGTGTCAACAATTCTTTGGGTTATAGTTTTGTGAAATTTTACTGGAGTGAATAAACATTTGTCTGATACGGCGAGTTCAAGGATTTTTGTTTCACAAGTTTCATTGTAGAGCAGGTCTTCTGTTGTATATTCGCAGAGATGCATATTTTTAACAATTTT